GTTTCCGCTTTTTTTAGGCCTTCATTAAAATAGTTTGCATTTTTTTGCACTTTCAGTTTTAAAAAAATATATATCACTGATAATTACTCAATTTTTTTAGTCAACTAAGACCTTTTTTTACGCAATTTGAAATTCAATTTTGAAAGAAAAAAACTTTGAAGCCAAGAGAGAGGGTACTCTTTTTGAACTTTTTTCCGGCCTCTCAAAGAGATTTTCGCCCTTTTCCCTCTTCAAAAATGAACGAAAAAGATAGTCATGTGTAGTTTTGGTGGAACAAGACGTGAGGCCGTCCGTTTGGTCAATTTTTCAAGTGGCCCTCCCTTTATCTTGTCTTTCGAGAACACGTCCGTTTATATCTTAACCCCGTTGAGCTTCTTCCCTTTTCTCCCACTCGAACAAGAACTTTTTGAACTTTATTGATTTGGAGAGCCGTCTAGAAACGGATATTGGCTCATTTTTTGATTGAAATCTGGCTTTCCCCGGTCTTTTTTGGCCGTCGAGCTGTCAGCGAAACGTGAACGCTGAACGATTTGTTTCCTTCTGGTCGTGATTTTCGGGATCACAAAAAGTGATCCTTTGGCTATAGTCTATCAGCATTGACGCCTGGGGTACTGATTTTATGAATATCACAGAATTTTCGTTTTTTTATTAAATGTCACTGTAGACATTTGATATGAGAATTGGGTGAGTGTATGCCGTTTTTCGAACTTATTTCCAAGTCTGCTATCAAAAAATGCCCAAAAAAAAGTCCGAGAAAAAGTTGAAGATTTTCAGACATAAAAAAATTCTTTAAGTGGTAGCGAGAGATTTTTCGGGCCAAGCTAGGATTTTTTTGATATTTTTTCTCTCAACGACGGCTCTCACCACATGATTAGCCCTATAATCAAGCAGCTGTGTTGTTCAGACCCCAAGGACTGTTTGAAATGATTTTTACGAAATTCAAACTTTCCTAGTTGACATCTTTCTCATGAAACTCTCGTTTTTGACAAAAAACTTTCACAACTTTATATATTTCTTTTTTCTCGCCAAACCCTCTGACAATGACGAACCCGAACACGTTGTTGGTTTACGCGATAGTGAAAGCGGTTGCTCTTGAAGAGTCCCTCCTCATTCCCTCCTATGTTTATGAACAGTTGATCGATCCTCGTACACATTTGGCCGAGTGCGAATTTCCCTGATTGATTGCTTTGACGGCGGATTTTTGCGGAATGGAGAAATATTTTGAAACTCTATTTGAATTTTTACCGTGACTGGATCTTATGTTCATCATGTTTCTTTGAAAAATGTTTGAATTTATCTTTTGAAGAGTTGAAGTTTTTTTTTTAGAAAAGTTCTATTTTTTCTCCTGCTATTGGGAAACCTGGAATTGATTTACCAGTGACCACAATGTTTATCAAAATATTGTAAAACGCGAAAAATTTGAAAATCTGGAGATACAGTGTCACAATTTTTGGTTGAATCTCTATTTTGGAAAATGTTTAATTTTCAAATTCCGAAGTTTAGTTGGGAAATGGAAAAGTTCGCTTAAATTTTTTTTCTCATGAATTTTCCAGTTCACCTTTTTTTCCTACAAGAGATAGGGGTATCATTATTTATGAAAATTTTTAACTTATCACGGTTTTTCTTCAAAAAAAGTTAGACTTTTCCCTTATTTTTTTCTGAAAACTTGAACTTTCTTTCCAGATCGTTTTGATTTTATAGTAGTTTCACGGTCTTTTTTTCCGTAGTTTTATGGTTTTCTTAAGTTCCTAATTTAATCTAAAACATAAAAGAAACTGGTTTTTTCATTAATTTTAGATCACATTATGAAATTTCAATTCTTTGAACTTTTTACGGTTCTCTATTCATTTAAAATACCGGTTTTGTTGAGTATATTCACATTTTTCAGTGGAGAGAAGTGTGAAAAGAAAGACTTTTCAGGGAAATTAGTAGATGAGTCATTTCAGCGTTATGTTGAGACAAGAAAAATGGGTAGTTTACTGTAAGACTCTCTTCTTTTTCCTCACTATTTCGCTCATCGTTCCAAGACCTTTTTCCTTGGAAAAATTTTCATTTAATAAAATATTTTTTTCACGAGCTTAACGTTAGAAAAGAAAGGAAAAGTACAGTTTTGTGTATTTTTTTCTTTTAAAATAAATTTGTAGGTTTCTGTAAGACTCTCTACTTATCACTCACTGTTTTCCTGATCGTTTCAAGACCCTTTTTTGAAAAATTCATAGTTGTTTCCCACTTTTTTGACAGGTTGATGGTAAAATTAGAAAATGATGATTTTGTGGGGTGGAAGACTCTCTTCTCTTTGTTCCCTATTTAGCTCTTCGTTCCGAAACCTTTCCTTGGCTCTACAAGGCCTTTTTGAATTTTTTTGAAATTAAGAAATCTTTTTTTTTTCATATGAGTATGAGATTAATCCCCATGACTAAAAGTTCAAACGCGTAAAATTCGGAGAAAAAGAGTTCCAGCCACGTTTTTTTTTCTATCCCTCAAAGGATTTGCTCGAATTTCGTTCATTTTTGGCCGCCAAATGCCCTTTTTCGCTGGTTTTGCCCATTTATGGTCGTGTTTTTTGGAAAAAAGAAGGTTACTGTGAAACTTTCCTGTTTCTGCGATCTAATTAATCGTCACAGGACTTTCTTTTTGATTAGTCATTGATAGTTTGAAATTTTAAAAATCTTAATAAATCAAAATTTGAAGATCAAACGTTACGTTTCTGATAAGCTCCTTCTTTATCAACTCTCAGATGATTTTTCTCGATATTTGATTATTTTTGGCCATCCTCACTGGTTTTGAACATTTTTGGTTGTCGGTTCAGGGATTATTACCGCTAGCTGTGGATACTGTGAAACCCTCTTTTCGAAGAATCGTTCTAAGACCTTTTGCTTTTGTAAAATCCACGTCTTTTTCCATTTTTTGACAATTCGAAGGTGTATAGAAGTTTCAAAAACGAAGATTTGTAAGTTGAAAATCTGTTAAAAAAAACGAAATCAAAAGTATCTCTCGGCGAATTTTTTTCGAGTTTGGATCGTTTTTGGAGGTCAGGGAACCTTTTTTCTCAATGACTTCGCCCATTTTTGGTCGTCTTTTAAAATTTTTACTGCTGGGGATACTGTAAAAGCCTCTCTACACGCATTATTTCCGTGACCGTTCCAAGACATTTTCTCTAAAGATCCACGTTTCTTCCAAATTGCCAAGGACTTTGTTCATATTTCGATCTTTTTCGGTAGCCAGATGGTCTTTTTTCTCACTGGTTTGGTTCATTTTTGGTTTTCTCTTCAATTTTACCGCTACTAAGAAAATTTTTAGTGACCACTATAGGGTTTTGACGTTTCAGTGGCCACTATAGAGGTCTAAGTGCTACTACTAGGCCACTGAAAATTTTAGTGGCCATTTTAGGGGTCAATGGATCAACATAACTGGTCCAATCTGTTTGTTTTGAAATTATCGGAGTTACTGGAAGGAATACTGGATGAAAAACTACTGAAGTGGCCACTGAATTTTTATTTTTCACTACCTTAGTCATAATAGACCTTTTTCTCAAACTTGCCAAAGATTTTGCTCGAATTTCGCCGAGTTCTGGCCGCCAGATGGCCATTTTTCTCACTGGTTTTGGGCATTTATGGGTGTGTTTCGTGGGGTGACGAACTGGTGACACGTGCACTGGAGTCCCTCCGAGTCGTGAGCGTGCCAATGAGTCTTTGAGCTCACACTCACGCTCATTTTTGCCACAATGGAGCATTTATGCTCACCCAGTTTCCATGCGTCGGTTTCGAGTTCTGTCCCGCCTTTTTTTCTGGAGTTTCTTGTCAGATTTTTGTTGAACAATTAATTTGAACTGTACTTTGTTTGAATCTAGCTTTTTTTATTAGAAAAAGATACTGGAAATAAGTTAAACTTTCATTTTTTTGGGGCGTAGTTTCCAGTTCTGTGTGCATCTTTTTGAGGTCAGATTAGCTTTTTTTCTGATTTTCTTCAAAAAAATCCCTTAATTTTTTTGATCAATTTGAACTATATTATGTCTCGAATCTACCTCATACTAGAAAAAAGCTATAAAGAAAGCTAAAATTCTCATTTTTTTGAGGTGTTTTTTTGCTCTCAAAGTCCCCAGTTCTGTGTCCTTTTGAGTTTGAAAAAAATCCAGGTTTCATTTTTTTATCCCTGATGTAATGAAAAGCTTCAAGAGCTTACCTTACACAGGTAAAATGGTTTTGGACATTTTCAAGCTTGAAAACTTGATTTTTTTTTTTGATTTAAATGCAAACTTCTGTGGCCTCAATTCCATGTATGCATCGAAAAAAATAAAAAAATATAGTTTTATTTTTTCGATCCAAGCAATTTTAAACAGTCATGAAGTTTGAGTTTTGCTCGAAAAAAACTCTTTTTATTTTTTTATCTTGAAACGCTTTTAGTTATGTGGCAAGAGCTTTTTCTATTATTATGTAATTATCATTTTTTTCGAAGCTTCCAAATAATTTTTAATGAATTCCTTTGATTATGTAGGTCTTTACTATGTGAAATTAGTGCTCTCAGATATTTTTTTATGAATAGTTTTTTTGACTATGCCGATTTAAAAAAATATTTTTTTTAGTGGAAATATGATTTTTCGAGATAGGTTATAAGAATACAGTGTGTCATTATTTTTATTGATTTTTTTTTTTTGGAAGTTCATCGATTTTGAAGATCGAATTTGACTTTTTTTCTGGAAAATCCTATCTGAGAGAAGTTTAAAAGAGCAGAAGACTTTTATGAGCATTGAAAATGGATATTCGTCTCGAGACCTTTATGAAGTTTCCCTATGTCCCTTTAAGTAACTTGAAAAAGGATTTTTTTTTTTAATTTGAAGGGCTTTTATATATTTTTCAGTGCTAAATCTCGATGCAGATGTTATTTTTCAATGTAACTCGAGCTCTTAAGTCACTACTTTTTCATCATTTTTATTTGTTCTATCTCTTTTTTTTTGTTTTTTGCTCTTCTTAGTTCACTTTCCTGTTTCCAGATGGAGTGAAATGGCGAACTGGCCCCGAGCATCCCCATTGGTCTACGTCGGCCTCGGCGTCCTCATCGGAATTTGTCTTTCCATTTTGTCCAACCCAGCCAATGTTGGTTTTTTTCGAATTTCTAGGCCAGTAAAAGTTGAAATCGAGTTCTTCGATCAGAATACCAGCATTAAGAAGAAAAATCGGAGGAAAAACGAGGAATTCCGACCAATTTTGGACTGTATTTTGTCATTTAATTGAAGTTTTACTTATTTTTTTAATTTTTTTCCGATTTATCTTCAAAATTAAAAAAATATCGTTTTACCAATACAGAAATATGTGAGAAAAAAATTAAGCTGAAATAAAAAAATCAAATTTTTTTAAAAAGAAAAAAATGAATTTCAACGCTTGGAAAGTTAATTTAAAAAAAGTCATATGATAGTTCCAAAAAAATTGAAAAAAACCTTCCTGAAATATTGAAAAATTTTTTTGTCAAGAAAAAAATACAGAAAAAAACTGTCCGTGGAGCGCAGAAGCTTCAAAGCTCTTATTTTTTTACAGTTTTCCTTGACAATTTACAACTTTCTCCGACACATTACAGTTTCTACTTTGTAATTAATATTTTTTCGAGAGTAATTTTTTTGATAAAGCTATGGTTAGTCATCGAAATATTCATTTCGAAAGCTATAATCTGTTCAGATTTTGAATGTCAAGTCGGCGCTTAAGTTCCGCCCCTAATGGCGCGACAAACCAATCAGAGAGCGAGCCATCCACAGAGCATTTTTCCATGACGTCATTGCACTTGACATTCAAAATCTGAACAGACTATAGATCATTTTTTTTTTCATGCGATCACGTTTTAAAGCACAACAGAAAAAAATTTACCGTAAACGCTCTTTTTTTTGTTTTTTTTCTATAGAATTCTATAAATGGGCAAAAAAGACTGCAGAAAACAAAGGTCTCGAAGCGAAATTTGGTATGGGGTCTTTTTTGATGAAAAAGGGACAATTTCACGTTGAATGCGCTTAATAAAATTAAATTGAAGCTCCTTTTCATTTTAAAAAAATTTAAAAAATTTTGATTTCACTTAGATTTTTAGAAAATATTTAAGCAAAATTCTTCAATTTTTTTCATCTTTCTGTAATAATTTTGTTCAGAAGTTCGTTTGAGTTTGCAATTTTTTTAAAATAGGTTCAATGAAAACGGTTCTTAAACTTTTACTCGTTATATACATTTTTTTCCAGACACGATTCGATGACGTGACGAGGTATTCGAGACCGGACCGGCTCAAGGCGCCGGGCGAAGATGAACATCGACACGGTCATGGCAACGACCCCCACGAGGAGGAAGACGTTGATGATCATCATGCCGACTTCGCCCCCGTCCAGTTCCACACCAACGACACTCATCATTCTCACGAGGGTCAGCATTATGATGATCTTATATTTTATAGATTTGCAATTTTCATAAATTAGAGTCACGGTGTTCCCAAACGGGGTGGGGAGACGTCAAAGAAAAAAAATTGGCGCGAAGTTTGAAATCTCGAGTACACAGCCGAAGGCGATCGAACAAACAAGTAATTACGTTTGATACTCAGTGCATTTTATCCGTAGCGCACACTTACTTTTTTTTGTAAATTCAGAAAGTTTGACGCCTCGTTCACCTTCCCTCACCCCATTAGGAGTGCCGTGTAAAGAAAAATGATTTTGATCAACAGTTGAGAAATTAAACTTTGCAAAAATAAACTAGGAAACTGTAAATTTGAAAAAAACATTGAAAAAAATAAACTTCACGAGGATCAAATATATGTTGAAGTATAGCGAATAAACTCAAAATTTTGATAAATTAAAGTATTAAAAAGTGTTTTTTTTTACAGAAACGGAATTACTTTGTTGCAAAAATAAGCTATCAAAAGTTATATTTCGAAGTTCATTTTTAAAAAAAATATAACTTTCACGAGGCTCAGAATTGTAATATAGTATCTCTGAGAAAAAAATTTTTCATCAAAAATTTTTTTAAAGGTTATTTGAAAAAGCGGATCAAATTTTACAGTTATAATCAAGATTAACAATATCAAAACAGTAGAAAAAAATTGAAAATAAAAAAAATAAGGAAAAAAGAAATAAATTGATTTCAATGCAATTTTTTTCTGAAGAAAAATATCTGGTTTGGCTATTTTTCTTTTTCAAATTCTACTTTTTTTGAATCAAATTGTTTCAATTTTTTTAAATATTTTTTTAACTTGATACAAGGTATTTTTAAGTCACACAGTTTTTTTTCCTCTACCCAAAAAATTAATTTCATACGCGTTTTTTCGAAGAAATCTTGATCTTACCAAAGAAATTGAACGACTGCAGGTGAAAGCATCGTGGCCGACGAAATCGCCAAGAAGGTCCGGGTTTTCTGTTGGATTCTGACAGGCAAACAGAACCACGACAAGAGAGCCAAGCATGTCAAGGCGACCTGGGCCAAGCGCTGCAATAAGTAACCTTTTTAATTTCAGTTCAACTTTTCAGGTTTCAAAAATTAAACTTTAGATTATTTATCTGCTTTTTTTTATTTTTAAACGTTCACTGTATTCTAACTTTTTTTCGTTTTCAGAAGCTTTTCCTCGGGTTTCCAAGTCTTTCATTTTTGCTGATCAGAAATTTTTTTCTTCCTGGTCAGAGCTTAACAATTGGACTTTCCCTTGATTATTTTCATTTTCAAAAATAGTATAATCTCTGGAAATTCGTTATAAGCTAATAATCTAGAAATAAAATAGCGATATTTGCCCTTGTAAATCCATTTTTTGAGTCAAATTTTGATTTACTTGTGAAAAAAAGTATATTTTTTTAATAAGAAAAAAATGAAACATTCTAGAAAAATCCCATTATAATCGAAAAATTTTAAAGTTTCTGTAGTTTTATTGTAAAAAGAGATTCGATTTTCATTTGCTAAATCCTTATTTTGGATCTAATAATTTGTTCGTAGTTCTGAAAAATTGACCATTAGTTGGTAAAAAGTACGAAATTTCGCTTTTTGAGAACAAAAAAATGTGTTTGTTTGAACTTTTGATGAAGAAAACTCTTAATTTTTCTTATCAATTTGATGAAAAAAATAATTTGAAATGTATTATTTAAGTACGAAATTCAGGTACGTGTTCATGTCGTCAGAAGCGGATCCAGAACTGCCATCGATAAATTTGAATATTTCCGAGGGCCGAGATTTCCTTTGGGCCAAGACAAAAGGGGCTTTCCAGTACCTCTACGACCATCATTTGGTTCGGTTTTTTTGTAGGAATCCCAGAAAATATGTGTTAAAAATGAGGAAAAACAGTTAACTCTCTTAAAAAGGGATGAATTTTTGTTGTATTCGGTGGGTCATTTTATAAATTAATATTCAAATAGATATATTTCAACGTTTTTTTTATAGAATCTGCAACTGATCACAAGTTCAATGCAATAGAAATAAATTGTATCACTTTTTAAGTTTTGAAACTGAAACCGTAACGTAAGTTAAACTATCTTTTTTACAGAACGACTACGATTGGTTCTTGAAAGCTGACGATGATACCTATGTCGTTATGGAGAATTTGAGGTTTTTCAATCTGTTAATAAAAGGCTTATAAAACAGGACCATTTAGAGGAAAATATAAAACTTTGAAACTTTTTAAAATTCTTATCAAGTGTTTTTAGTGGTTTTTGGCGCTTCCAGCAGGTTCCAAAAAAAAAATCATGATAATGAAAATTTATCATTTACTGAGTTGCAATGAGAACGATAATTTTTGAGAAAAAAATGATGCAAAAATTAAAAAAAAATGTTGTAGAATTTTCCTCATCATTTTCTAACAAAAAAAAGTTTCGAAAGGTTTTTTTTTCAGTTTATACTGAATTCTTGATAAATTTGGGTCCCTATCCTCATTTTCATTTCTTTTTGCGTGTTTGAACAGTCCAAAAAAGCCGTTTTTGCTCATTTTTTGAATGGAATGCCGTGTTCAAAGTAATTTCCGCGAAATGCGAAATTGTCTCTGACCCTCCAAAATTTAGTTATCTTTCTCTTTCTCTGACGGCTATTTTGAATTTCGCGGAATCACTTTGAACACGGCAGAAAGTAAATTGAAAAAAAAACCGTAATAAACCTTTTTCTCCCGTTTCAAATTTAGTATTTAGTATCTAATTGAAAAAAAAGTTCAATTGGGTGTCCATTTGGAAGTAGTATGACTCTTGAAGCTGTCTTTTTACTGGTTGTTATTTAAAAATTTCTCATTTTATCTGACCTAAAAAAATAATTAATTTCAAGATTTTCCCAAGATTCTTCACGATTTTGTGTGTTGAAAAATTCTTCTCATTTGTTTTTCGAGTTTGAAACGGATCCTCCAATCTTATTCGAAGATCGAAATAGGAAAAATAGTTTTTTTCTAGCTTTTGAAAAACATATTTTTTGGCATTTTTTAGTATTTTAGTTTATCAAGTAGTTTTTCATACTTCATTTATTTTTTTATGTATCTATTAAATTTACCTCAAGACCTTTTTTTGTACTATATTCAATTATTTTTTTCTTTTTTTTTTGTTTTCCTTGTCTTTTTCGAAAAGTGCTTTCAGAATTGAATTTGGAAACAGTTTTTTTTTTCCAATTTTTTGTTTTATATATGTTTTTGAAAAAAAATAGGACTTTTCGAGGCTTTTGATAGATTTACATGCCGAATTTTGTTTTTTCTTTTTCAAGATTCATTAATGTTTTTCCAAGACCTTCTTTGTATTTTTTTTTTCAGATTCATGCTCCTGGCCCATTCTCCAGAAGAACCGATCCATTTCGGATGCAAATTCAAGCCATTTACAAAGGGTGGATATCACAGCGGCGGCGCCGGATACGTGTTGAGCCGCATGGCTTTGAAAAAGTACATTTCTGTTTCAATCAGTAGAATAGCTGAAATATCCTCAGATTTATCACGGAAGCCCTTCCGAACAAGACGATCTGCTCTCCGAACCATGGCGGAGCCGAAGACGCGGAAATGGGAAAGTGTCTGGAGAGAGTCGGTGTGAAAGCAGGAGACTCCAGAGACAGCGAGGGACAACATAGGTAACCTGTTTCGAGAGAGATTTATGAGCAGATAATCTTCATTTTTAACGTTCTATGTTTTTCAGCGAGACAGTGTATGAAATGAAGAGGTTTATTTACAGTATTCTCAATTTTCTTAAAGAGAGCCAATTTTCACGTATAAGAAAGTAGTGAGCGAAAGCGAGAGATTGAATCGCTTGAAGAGACGCCAGAGAAGGAGAGTATCTTGATTTCTCTGACGTCTCTTTAAGCTGCTATTGATCTCTTCTTTAATATTTTTAAACCTACAGTACTCCCAAGTTTTATCAAGTTACTGTAACCATCTTTTTTAGGCTATCGGAATCAAAAAAGAGATCAGAAACGGTCCAAAAAGGCGAAAAAAGTATTTGAAAATGGTTGAAATGTGAATTTTTATACCTACAGTACTCTACAATTTTTAAAAGGCTTTGTAAAAATTGTTCAAGGTAACAAAAAAAAAGAGTTAAAAGAAGCGAAAATGAGAGATCAATGGGAGCTGAAGAGACGCCAGAGAGCGAGACTTTCTTGATCTGTCTGGCGTCTCTCTAAGCGAGTGTTGATCCCTCTTTTAAGATTTTTACACCCACGGTAATCCCAAGTTTTATCAAGTTACTGTAACCGTCTTTTTTACGCTATCGACATCCGAAAAGAGAGATCAAAAACGGCCCAAAAAGGCTTTTTTAAAGAGGTTATTTTAAATAATTAGTGATAAATTGTGTGTAGCTTTTTATCCCTACAGTAATCTAAAACTTTCGGAAGGCTCTGTAAAGTTTTCGAAATTCCCTTTTTAATGTTCTCATGAAATAAGGACGAAAAAACGAATAGAAATGAGAAAAAGTGAGAGATCAGTGGGAACTGAAGAGACACCAGACAGCGAGAGTTTCTTGTTTTCTCTGCCGTCTCTTTAGGCTACCGTCGATCTCTTCACTTGTTTTCTTTAGACATTGGTATTTCAGTTTCAAAATATTTATGTCATCCGGAAAAATTCGAAAATAATTAAATAATGATAATTTCCAGATTCATGCCCTTCGTGCCTGAGCATCATTTATCGCCAGGACATGTCGATCCGAAGTTCTGGTTCTGGCAATACACCTATTATCCTTTCGACCAGGGACCTACCTGCTGTTCAGGTACCGTTTGGAAACCGAGTCCCTGAAAATCAAGCTACAAAAATGGGTAGGGGCAACTTAAAAGGGCCCTTGGAGGGTCCTTTAGGGACCACTTTATCAAGCCCTATAGGGGCCAATTGAGCTTGTGAAAGTGGTGTGTAGGGGTTTCAGTTAGTGGCCCCATGTAGGGAACGTGCTAGTCGATAATTGTTCTGAAAGCATTTCCATGGGAAAACTGAACAGATAAGCGTTTTTAATGAAAATTGAAAAACCACTATAGGGTACACTTGAACTTTAGGGGCTAAGGGGTCAGATCCTAAACCTCTATAGGGACCACCTCAATTTTACCCCTATAGGGACCACTTTTTCAGCCCGTATAGGGGCTGTTTTACACTATGACCCTTATAGGGACCACTCTGGAGTTTCCTGATACCTCTAGGGGATATGCTAGTCGATAATTGTTAAGAACTCTCAGCGAAGAAGCATTTCCATGGGAAAACTGAACAAATGAGGGTTTTTAAATGAAGTTGAAAGACCCCTATAGGGTACACTTGAACTTCAGGGGCTAAATGGTCCCTGAACCCCTACAGGAGTTTCCCCTACAGGAACCACTTTTTCGAGCCTTATAGGGGCTGCTTTCCGTTCTAACCCCTATAAGGACCACTCTGGAATTGCTAAAATTGTTTTCATCTTGCCCAAAAGACATGTTTTCATGTTTATCTACTTTTTTTTCTGAAAAATGCTCTCTTCCGCCTATTTTCATCCTATAGTTCCCACTTTTCAATCCGTACTTTTTCAGACTACGCCGTCTCTTTCCACTACGTGAGCGCGAACCTGATGTACGTCCTGGAATACCTGATCTACCACCTGAAACCTTTCGGAATCGACCGAGTTCTGAGGGTCGATCGCGACGAGACCATCCTACATGCGGCTTATGAAGCCGCCAGGAATGCTCAGGGCAAAGATGACGCATTCAAGTGAGTTCTTAAGGGAAAGTAGTCATAAGAAGTTGTATTCGAAAAAAAAGTCGTTGTAAAGATACATAGTGTCTTCCTCCAAGCTTGGAAGTTCCAAAATGAACCTCTCACTACGAAAATTACCGTAACCCTTGGAAAATTTCAGTTTTTCAAAGAATTTTCGCTAGTTTTTGTTTATTAGTTGTTGGGCTCGAAAAGGCTTCTTTAAAATTGGATACTATCTTTTTCGAAGCTTAGAAGTACAAAAATAAGTCTTTCACAACGAAAACTACCGTAATCCTTGTAAAAATCCGAGTTTTAAAGAAGAGTACTACTAATTTTCATATATATTTATCAGGTTTAGAGAGGCTCTTTTACGGTTTCAATTGAACTTCTCAAACCTAAGAAGTACAAAAATAGGCCTCTCACCACGAAAATTACCGTAACCCTTGTAAAAAGTTCAAATTCCCAGGGGAAACCTCAGTATTTGATTATTAATTTTTTTTTTTGGCCTTGAAAAAATTGTTTCAATTCAGATTAACATTCTTCAGGTTTAAGAGTATTTGAATAAGACTCTCACAACGAAATTTACAGTAACCCTTGTAAAAATCCAATTTTTCAGAGACAACCCCACGCAGATACCGGCGCGGTAGTTTCATAGCAACTTTATTTATCATTTCAAAGATTTTTGCAATTTTCTGCATCGCCTTGACATTTTCAATGCGGGTTTTTCGCTCACAACTTGTCCGAACCAAAAAAAAAACGAAACAAGGATTTTTCTCATTCGAGAAAATTCCATTTTCACTTCATTTCTTGTTATTTTCATGTACCTTTTACGCAAAACTTTTTTGTCACACATTCCATCCCTTTTTCACATTGAATATTGCCAAATTTTGCATGTTTCTAGTGCTTTTTATTAACATTTTTCAATTTTGCTACTGTTAATAATGCTTTTTTTTTCGCTTTACGAGGTCTCTAAGATAGTTTTAAATTGCTTGTGATAAGGTTACTCTAACTTTTTGCTTACTGTGTTCTCTTCAAGTGCAATTTTTGTTCGAAACAATACTTTCTCATGGGTTTTTCTATGTCTATTTGAATTGTTCTCGCATTGAAACTAGTCTTTTTTGGGATTTTTACACGTTTTATTTTGAACCTTGCCTTTGGCTTTTCGGTTTTTTTGTTGAAAAAAATTGGAAAAAATGAATAAAAAATTTAATTTATTGGTGTAGTTTTGCATGAATATGGCGAACAAGAGAAATGCGTTTTAAAAAAAGTATGTAAATGAGTTTTATTACGTGAAATTGGACATTAATCGATCCCGTGAAAAAAATGTGACAAAATCTTCATTTTCTATAACAAGCGGATCAGAAAAGTGTGAGTTTTCTGATTCCTAATAGGTTAAATTTGAAAAAGTTGCCTTTTCAGTGATGAGAAAACCCGGTCCTCTCTTTTTCGCCGTTTTTGGTTTTTCAGTTGCATTTATCACTTGGATCATCTTTTTTTCCGAGGAGTTGTCAGTATTTATTATTAATTCAGAAATTTATTAATTATTTCTTTTTTTCTTGGAATTTTTGTGAAAAAAACGCTTCAAATTAAGGATATTACCACAGTCGGCATTTCGAAAAATTCAAAAACTTTAATAAAAATAATTAAAAACTTTTATTAATTTGAATATCTCATTAAAGAAGAGAAAAGGAGAAAAATAGAAGAGAACGAAAAAGTTTGGGAAATTGAACTGTAAAGTTTGGCAAAGTGCGCTCCATGGCGATCCCCAAATTTTTAGTTTCCGAAAATTTTTCATTAATGAAAGTTCTCTTTTTTTCTATTATTTTTGCTTGATTGTTGTGTGTTTAAAACGTCTTGCTAGCCTTTAAATGAACAAAAGAAGGTCTCAAGGCGAAGTGACCCAAATTAACCCTGAAAGAGAATCACCTTCGTTAGTACCGCTCAAAGGAGCAATTTTTTCACCGCTTAGTCTATTCCATCTGACTAAAAAAAACCAATAAACATTGATTTTTTGCTCTTCGATCGCTTCGGAATTAAAAAAAACTCAACCAGAGTTTTCGGAAAGATTTTTGTGCGAATTTAGGCTGAATAAAATGCTAAGATGGAAACAATGATCATTCAATTTTTTCATAAATTTTCCTGTTTTTTCGTATGACTTCTCGTTTTCCAAGTTTCAGGTTAGAAAGATATTTTTCTGTAATTTTCACTTGGAAAAGTTTGAGTTCTGTTTTCCTTATTCCCAATTCGGACTTTTCTATTGCTGCTTTTTTCCAACTTACCTTCTTTTTTTCGCTTTAATTTGAAAATTGTTTTTCAGGGTTGAATTAATATGTTTGTTTTCAGTTCAAAATCCAAGGTTTTTATCACGAAGAGTTCGAGCCAAACTTAACTTATTACAAGAAACCTGTCAATCTAGGATGGGACCCGTACGGTCTCGTTGATGAGATTGAAATTACTCCTCATAGAAACGAAAGTTTCCATGATGATGAAGGTTTAAAAAAAAAGTTTTTTGTAATTTCTCAGACTAGTTTAGATGGAAGCGCGGTGGCAAACGAAGTTGCGAAGAAAGTTCGAGTATTTTGCTGGATTTTGACCGGGAAAGATAATCATGAAAAGAGAGCCAAGCATGTGAAGGAAACTTGGCTCAAGCGGTGTGATAAGTATCTCTTTTTGAATAAATAAATGCTGATTTAAATGATTTAGTTTCATGTTCATGTCTTCGGAAGATGATCCGAACCTGCCTGCAATCGATTTGGATGTTTCTGAGGGCAGAGAATTCCTCTGGGCGAAGACCAAAAAAGCTTTTGGATTTATCTACGATAATCATTGGGTGGGTTCCGGAAAGTCATTTTTCTTTGCATTATTTTGTGAACTGTTCATTTTGATTTAAAAATTTCAAAATTGAGGTTTTTTTCTTTATAAAAATTCTTTTTAGACTCCTTGAAATATCGTCTTCATTTTGAACTAGAGATTTTTCAGAGCGACTACGATTGGTTCTTGAAGGCTGATGATGATACCTATGTCGTTATGGAGAATTTGAGGTGGTTTATTGTCAGTTTAGATTTTTAATGGGAAGTCGTCGCTCAAGCTCATTTTTGACTCACCTTTTTTCATGTCTTTGAGATCTTTTCTTTTTGGAAACAACTTTTTTTCTGAGAGTTTGAAAAAAAATATTTTTCAAGGTTTTTTAAAATTTAGACTATGAATGATTTTTTGATTATTTTTCTGCATAATTCTTGAAGTTTTTTTCAGGATTTGTTTGTTTTTTTCCCAAATTCTGTTCAGGTTCATGCTCCTGACCCATTCTCCAGAAGAACCGATCCATTTCGGGTGCAAATTCCGGCCATATACAGAGGCTGGATATCACAGTGGCGGAGCCGGTTACGTTTTGAGTCGGATGGCTTTGAAAAAGTACATTTCTGTTTCAATTCCTAATAAATTACCGACAATTTTACTCAGCATGTTTTTTCTAGTCCTTCCTCTCTTGTTTGTCTTTTTTGTTGATTCTCAATGTGTCAGGTTCGTCATAGAAGCTCTACCGAATGGAACTCTCTGCTCCCCGCAAAATGGAGGCGCAGAAGACGTCGAAATTGGCAGATGTCTGGAGGCAGTCGGCGTGAAAGCGGGAGACTCACGGGATAGTGATGGAAAGCATCGGTGAATGACAAATTGATCTTCAAAATTAAAAAAAATACTTTTATTGGTTTTTTTTAAAGAGTTGATTAATTTTCAATCAAAAGTTCTTTTTAAGTGCTGTTTTAAGTGATTGAGTTTTCATTGGCTTTTAAACGGTTCAAGCAGTTCTTTTTGAATTAAGTTTTTTTAAGTATCGAGAATGGTACGGAAAAAAATTCCTTTTTTTATACACTCTTTCGGTAAATTTTGCAAATAAGGTTTTGAAAACAGGAAAACTTTTTTTTTTCAATATTGTCTTTAATTTTTTTCCTTTGAGAAATCTTTATTACAAAGGCACTTTTTCCTGTTTTGTTTTTTTTTTTTTTTTGGTTCGCCTTTAAAATTGTTCAAAATTCGTAGTTTCTAGCGATTTGAAGTTTTTTTCCTTCGAAACTTTCTCGTTAGTCCTTGGAAAATGAAGGTTTTTAGTGGGACATTTGTGTTATGTTGGCTTTTTTTTGTGTTAAAAAATTTTCAATCCCCTTTTTTTAACTTGAATTTGTCAAGTTTTTCACTATTCCTATCAGGTCTATTTTCTCGAAATTTTGCTGTTCCTTCATTTTTTTTATTGCAGTCTGATGGCGTTATTTTTCCAACTTTTTGGTTCTCAGGTTCATGCCTTTCATTCCTTCGCATCACCTGAAACCGGGTCATTTCAACGCGAAACATTGGTTTTGGAAATACATCTACTATCCTTTCGAACAAGGCTCCAAGTGCTGTTCAGGTTATTTGGCGTCATAACGTCATTAAAGGGATTTCCGCAAAATTCAATTTTTATTTATCCCTGACACTCCAAACTTTAGTTATCTTTTTCTCTCTCTGATGGCTTTTTTGAATTTCGCGGAATCACATTATCATATTATTCCGATTTTTCGAATTTTCGAATTTTCTCATTCAGAATACGCCGTCTCGTTCCACTACGTCAATAAGGACTGGATGTACCTGCTCGAATATCTGATATATCGCCTGAAACCCGACGGAATCGACCAAATCTTGAAAGTTGCGGAAAATGAAACGGTACTCCAAGCAGCCTTCAGAGTCGCGAAATCGAAACAGGGCGCTGAAGATGTTTTCAAGTGGGTTTTTTAGCGAAAATTTTTGATAATACGGTGAAAAAAAAATTGGAGTATCGCCAATGCCAAATTTGAAGGACCTTTTATAGTTGTTTTTGAAAATGCTGAAGATTGTACCACATCAGTTGTTTTATACTTTTTAAAGGTTATCAAGATTCTTATTTTCAGGGATGCCGTCTTGCCCTCGTGAGAGATCGATATGATTTTTTGAAAACTTTTCCTTGTCCTCTTTTTTATATTTGTTGAATAAAGATTACGATTAATCAAAAATTGTTCTTTTTGTCATGAATTGGAAGCTAGGGTAAGCTTCTATATACAAGGAAATGGGATATGAATTGTCGTAGTTATTGTAAAAACTCTAAATCTTCCAAGTTGATGAAAACTGTTCGAAACTCACATCACTGAAAAGCTGGCAACCAGACGAATCGATTGATATGATTAGATAAACTGTAGCTGCTCTGAGAGCCGAGTTATAAGCCTCCAAAAGATCGTCTTAAAAAATAAAATTGCGCGTCAGATCGAATAAGTTGCGTGAAGTTGGGCGTCGGATCAAGTGTTGGTCTGAGGCCCAGATCGGTGTGGTTTCTTCGCGAAAAAGGAAAAGCTCAAAAAAGAGTTTGATTTTTTCAACTTTTTTCTAGTGTAATCGATAGAGCAGCTTTAATTTAGAACTGTTATCAAATCAGTTTCGAAGGAAAAACTCAAAAATTGGAACAAAAATAGGTCCGAAAAAAAACGCGATTTTCAGATTTTCAAGCTTCATAACTTTGTTCATTCTCAAGTTACAGATTAATTGATTACATCGATCAATTTGTCTCGTTATCAGCTTTCCATTGATATAGCACTTCAGAGGTTCCTACCCACTTAAAACACGTTATTCAATTTTTCAGCATACATCTCGGCTTTTCCTCCGAACAAACTGATGATAAATCCATACAGCGTCCGAAGACGAATAAATCTGTGTATTTTAGTAACTGTTATATTATCAGAAAGCTTTGTTATATGCAGTAACAAGTGGGAAACTTTTAGATGAAGCTTGATCCATACAAAAATTGTACCATTCGAAAGCTGGCAACAAGACAAATCGATTGATATAACTGGTTAAGCTGTAGCTGCTCTGGGTGCCGAGATATAAGCTTCCAAAGTTTGTCATACAAAATAAAATTGCGCGTGAGATCAAATAAGTTGCGTGAAGTTGGGCGTCGGGTCAAGCGTTAGTCTGAGGCCCGGATCGGTGTGGTTTCCTCGCGAAAAAGGAAAAGCTCAAAATAAAGTTTGATTTTTTCAACTTTTTTCTAGTGTAATCGATAGAGCAGCTTTTATATAGTACTGCTATCATATCAGTTTTGAAGGAAAAGCTCAAAAATAGGGTGAAAAACAGCCGAAAAATGATACTTTTTGAACTTTCAAGCTTCGTAACTGTGTTCATTTTGAAGTAACAAGTAAACGGAATATATCAATCGATTCGTCTCGTTATCAGCTTTCTAATGATTGAGGCCATGAGTCGATTGAGCTCTACACAGAAGCTTCAGACTCGCCTCAGCTTGAAACTTGAAGTTCTGAAGTTGTTGGGGTTTGAGATATTTCATAGGATCCGTCTTGAGCAGCTTTATCGATTGATAATGATTTCACCCTGATCAAGAAAGAAGCTTTGGAGTAAACTGGAAAAGTCGATGACGTCATACTAGTTGGTCAAAACTCTTGAAATTCTAAATCATCAGAAAGCTGATAACGAGACGAATCGATTGATATATTCAGTTTTCTTGTTACTTCAAAAAGAACAGATTTATGAAGCTTGAAAGTTCAAAAAGTACCATTTTTTCGGACCTGTTTTTCTCCCATTTTTCGAGCTTTCCCCTCAGAACTGATATGATAACATTACTATATAGAAGCTGCTCTATCGATTACACTAGAAAAAAGTTGAAAATCTCAAACTTTTTTTTGAGCTTTTCCTTTTTCGCGAGGAAACCACACCGATCCGGGCCTCAGACTAACGCTTGACCCGACGCCCAACTTCACGCAACTTATTCGATCTGACGCGCAATTTCAATTTTTTAGACGATCTTTGGAGGCTTATAACTCGGCTCTCAGAGCAGCTACAGCTTATCCAATCATATCAATCGATTTCTCTTGTCCTCAGCTTTCTAATGATACAGGTGTTCAGTCGATCAAGTTCTATATAAAAGGCTGAATTTTGACATTTTGGAAATTCATAACTTTATTCATATGATGTTTTGAATTTCAAGACCTAGTTTTTCCTGCTTCTCATGACCTTCTCTATCGAATAATGATGATTTCGACTCATTCTGAAATTTTACATCAAACTTTGATCGCCCCTAACTTGGTTCCTAGTTGACCTACGGAGGTCAAACCTAGCTCATTCTCTGTTTCTCGCCGAGATCTATAGATTGATATAGTTTTTGTCCGGATCGGCTTCCATGACCTCAAAAGCTCGAAAAAAACCTAAGGGGTTAGACTGTACTTTTTTCGAATTTCTTGAAAATCAAAGATCCCCAGATTTTTGCATCAATCGATAGGGAATGACGTCAGAAGTGCGAAAATCCAGGTCAAAAAGTTCCTGGCTTCTTACGAAAAAAGATATGATCCCTCAAAGTTTTCTATTCCTCATACCTCGACTTCTAGCAACTTAGGAACTTTCAGACCTAGTTTTTCCTGACCTCCGTGATCTCCTCTATCGACTGATACTAAATTTGACGGAATTTGAGATTTCTGACTTTTAAGTTTGATCGCCTCTAACTTAGTTCCTAGTCGACCTACAGAGGTCAAACCTGGCCCCCGGTTATTTTTTCGTTGAGATCTATCGATTGATATAGGTTTGGTCCAGTTCGGCTTCCATGACTTCAGAAGCTCGAAAAAAACCTAAGGGTTTAGACTGCACTTTTTTCGATTTTCTCGAAATCCAAAGTTTTCGAGATTTTCCCATCAATCGATAGGAAATGACGTCTAGATTCCGAAAAAGTAGCTAGAAAAGTTTTATAGCTGCCAGAAAAAAAGTTATGATTTTTCAAACTTTCTCTTTTTCGTCAGAAGTGCTCAAAACTCCTACAAACTAAGGCCATTGAAAAGCTGACATTAAGACAAACGGATTGATACAAATATCATCTCTCAAACTTTGAAATGAACGGAGATATGAAGCTTCAAACCTTCATGTTTGGACCTATTTTTGACCCAAGTTTTGAGGTTTTTTCTCGAAGCTGATATGATAACAGTACTATATAGAAGTTGCTCTATCGATTGCACTAGAAAAAAGTTCAAAAAATCAAACTTTTTTTTGAGCTTTTCCTTTTTCGCGAGGAAACCACACCGATCCGGGCCTCAGACTAACACTCGACCCGACGCGTCACTTCAACCAACATATATCATCTGACGCGCAATTTTAATTTTTAAGAAAAACTTTGGCAGCTTGTATCTCGGCTCTGAGAGCAGCCACAGCTTATCTGATTATATCAATCGATTCTTCTTGTCACCAGCTTTCCAGTGATGTAGGTTTCAAACAATTTCCATCAACTTAAACGACGTCTCAAAGTTTCCTAGCTTGTGTCTCAGCTTTTCCTTCGAACAATTTGAATTATTAACCATTCGAGAGAGCGTTCAAAGACGAACAAATGTGTGTATTTCACTCACTAATAACTATCAGAACAGCTGTGGTACGTCTGAAGCTTACTATGTTAATAACGTATATCATCAAAAAGTGGTAATCAGCTTCTCTGTAAATTAAATGATATTCATCGATCGATTCGTCACATCGCCATCTTCTGAACTGAATATGTGTTTTCAACTGATGCAACTACAACCCAAAGAACGTCCATTAGTTCGAATAATTGAAAAAATCACGTGACCAACTTATATAGTTCGTATAATATTCTTCCGTTTTTTTGAAAAAAAAGGCAGCCATACTTTATACACTTTGAACAATACAAAAACGGATCGTCGCGAATAGAATTGAAAGTCAGGAAGAACCGGCAGGACAAACTCAACAATTGAGTGAAAATTTTGCAAGCGGAGCTCACGCTTTAAAATTCTATTTAAAAATAACAAAAGCTCGATAAATCGGAGAAACGCTAAAAAAATTAATTATAAGCTCGATCGATAAGTGATTCAAGCCATATAAAGCAAGAGAAGGAAAAATTAATTTCTAACCGCGGCGGGCAGAGCGACCGTTCCTAACTTTTGAATAGCGACAATCTTTCGGGCAACGCCACGAGCACACGCTTCTACAAGCTCGTTGTGGTCCACTTTGACCGCCCAGGAGTACATCGCCCTGAAAATGTCAAAAATTAGAAGAAATGTCAAAAATTAGAACTAAAAAAGAAAAAAATAATATTAAAAAGACGTGGTCAATGAAGCAGTTTGCGCGTCAAATTAAATGTGTTTGTGTGCAGCAGGTGTTCACGTCATGAACGTCGGACGCTACGACAGTCTATCATTTTTCAATTTCTCCGTCTTGTCTTAATAAAAATTAAAAAAAAAAAAACGTTTTCCTGTCTTTTTTTGCGCTAACAACAAATCAAGATAGTTTCCGCCATTTTCTTTTTATACTTGTTACTTATTTTGCTTCGAAGGAGATGTAATGAAGGCGCAAAAAAATTTTTCGCGAAAAAACGGTGGAGAAGCGTTCAACCTAACCGAACAAATTATTTTTGATGTTCTGCCACTTTTTTGAAGCTTTCATAAGCGCACAATTTACCTAAGTTCCGCTTTACATCCGTTTTTTTCAAACAAATTAAAAATTAATTAAAAATTCATGGATCAATTTTTTATGTTTAAACTCGCACGAACTTCACAATCTTCAACGCCTTCTGAAAGTCGCCGCGTTGAGCATCAGCCAAGGCCTGATAGAGGTGACAACGGGCGACGATCGTCGGATCGCCGATTTCGTGGGCGATTTTCAACTGCTTGCGGCTGATCTCCGCTGCCGTTTCCGCCTGAAATTTTTTTGAAATAACTTTTTTTGTGTTTATGTTTATATTTTATATATAGCTTATTCGCGGCCAGCACAGGACACTAAGGGACGTGGCCTGTCTGCGCTCTCCATCAGCCAGACAGTGTCTTCTTTTTCTTATCGTGTCAGGACCTTTTTTGCATGGCTCAAGCCAGCCGTGAATCAACTATAGCTATAGCCTTTTCCGCGCTAGCTTTTCACGATTTTAGTTTTTTTATTCAACGAGGAAATAAATAAACGAGCGCGAAATGAGCTTTATGATTTAAAATGAAACTGAAGCGTATATGAAGTAGGCATCGACGGCGTTTTTTCGGTACGTCAGTCGAAACGTTCCGTGAATTATGGTAGTTATGGTGTAAACGCACCGGGACGCATTATCGCATACTCCAAAAATGTTTTTTACAATCTCAAAGTTTGGAATATTAAGCTAATGGCTTCCGAACATTATGAAATCTTCTCTATTTGAAGAATATGAAGTTGAAAAAAATTTGAACATCATATAAAATGTATAGCAGCGATCATAAAAGGTAAAAACTCTAAATTGCGGATAACGAAAGAAAAACAGAAAATATTGTTCTGGTAGGTTGCCTCGCGTCCGAAAAATCAATAAAATATGAAACAAGAATAAACAAAAAAATTTGAGAAGAGCCCCCTAAAAAAAGAATAATTTTTGAACCTTGGAAATTCCGCTTCAGAAAGTCGAATAATGGATAGAAACCAAAAAAATTTAAAAACCTTGGAGACCGAAATGTTTAATATAGTTCGAAAAAAACCATCAAAAAAACTAGGAACAATCATGTAATTTGAGTTAATTATAAAAATAAAAACTTTCAACTGCCATGTCCATTTCAATTTGACTCCAGAATACACGAAACCGGCTCTAAACTACGTGAAAGTACCTGGGTAATGACAATAACCCTACAAAAAAACGCTAAAAAAATTTTATAAATAATTTAAAAAAAGTTAGTTGAAAAACGCATTTTTTTCTGATTCCCAGTAAATCTATGGTTAGTGAGTCTGTTCATAAGAAAACGGGTCCTGCACAGAAAAAACTACTGCTGCCGTACGACTTACGACGCCCGCCCTTGATATTTTTTTCTGCATTTTCTTTCACTGCCAAGAACGCCGTGCATCAGAACTTCACCATCTTTAGAAAAATCATTTCAAGGTTCAATCAAAAGTCGAAAATCTCTAAAAATTTCACGGATTTTCAACTTCCATGCATACAGCTTTAAATTAAGATACTTTCATAATTTAAAAAAAGTCGACAAAAAAACTTTTTTTCCGAGCTCACTAACACTAAGAATAACTGCCGAGATAAACGCGAGACACTGGCGGTACATTGACGAGCTCGCAAACATCTCGCATTTTTTCTCGCGCCGGTCTCGCATTTTTCTGAGCGCCAGCTCGCACTTTTCTAGGTGCGAGCTCGCATTTCTCTCGCAATTTGAAAATTTCTGAAATGCAAGATAAATGCGAGCTCGCGCCCAGAAAAATGCGAGATGGTGCCTAGAAAAAAGCGACATTTTTGCGAGTTCATCAATGTACCGACCTCGCGTTTATCTCGTCAGTTATTCTTAGTGATTACAGAACTTTTTATTCAACGAGGAAATAAATAAACGAGCGCGAAATGAGCTTCGTGATTTAAAATGAAACTGAAGCGTATATGAAGTAGGCATCAGAACTTCACTATCTTTAGAAAAATCATTTTAAGGTTCAATCAAAAGTCGAAAATCTCTAAAAATTTCACGGATTTTCAACTTCCATGCATACAGCTTTAAATTAAGATACTCTCAAAATTAAAAATGTTTATATTGAAAACTTTTTTTTGAAGCCCAAAATGTTCTCCCCAACTTCTAAAGCAGCTGGAGAACTTTTTTGAACGATTAAGTTTGAAAAAAAATAAATGAACCCACAAATTTCAAATCGTAATCGCCCATGGCCGAATAAGCGCCACCGAGGGTCGACAAATTCCAGAGCAGTTTTTCCAATTCCAAAAAGCGGCGGTAGAGATATTGCATTCGACGCTCCCTAAAGTTAAACCGAAAACTTTCGGAGAAAATCTGAAAAAATACCATTTCAAATCCAAACCCTCAACGGGGAGCTTCTTGAGGGAAAATTTGAGGACGATTTTCTGCAAAGAACTTTTTTAAAAAACTAAAATTTGAAAAGGATAAATGAATGGAGCCCTACAAAAAATAGTGAGATTGAGAAAAAAATTCAAAACTTCGATCAAAGATTCGTCAAAAAACGAGTTTATTTTTAAATTTGCTCTGAGATTCAAAAAAATTCGGGAAGGTGAAAAAAGTTATGGATTACCTGAGCCTTGTCGACGCCATAAAAGGCGCGAACTTTTTCCATAAATTTGGCCCTAAGTTCCGGATCTTCATTGGCGGCTGAGGCGACTTGCAAAAAATCCCTTGATTCCGATGAAGATTTCGACGTCCAACGTATCACTTTTGCAATCCTCCCAAGATTTGGAGTGGCATCTCCTGGGAAAAATAAATCTTGAAAGGTTTTTCATGAAGAAGGAAGTAAATTTGATCATTGGAATAGGTACAAGAGAACTTGAAAAAAAGTCAATAAATAACCAAATAAATAAAGAATTCGTTCAAAAAAATGTAGAATAACATTAAAAACATCGAAATCTTCGTCTTTTTGATAAAAATGTCAAGGGAATTCAACTTAACGTTCAAAAAAACCGCTCTATTTTCAACGCTTCTCAAAACAAAAAAAAAGCTCAAAAAAGGTTTATTCCAACTTTTCCAATGCTTGAAATTACAAAAACTAGTACCTCATTGACAAAAATTCCTGAAACAAGTACAAAATTTAGCTAAATCGGGTGTAAAAATTTTTTTAAAGGTTCGAAATCATTGAAAAAATGAAAAAAATGTGACAAATTCGAAATTTTCTTCAATTTCTCTTTGATTTTTTTTTTGTTAGTCAGTATTATTTTATTATAAAGGCAAAAATTTTGAATTTCTATTCGATTCTTTGGCAGTGATTTCTTACCTTTTTAGAATCAGATATCGCAAAACTTATTGATAAATGTTCCATAAAAATATATAATTTCCACTAACCTTGCCCCAAATCTTTCGAAAGCTCCGATGAACTTGGTAACGGCTCCTCACCATCGTCCGAAATGCACAATTCCATATTTTCTTCAATTTCGAAGATCAATTCTGGGAAAAATCGAAAAAAGGGCGAAAAAATATCCAATCCGGTTGGAACTACAACGGATAAAGCAAAACTGATCCAAAAAAACAAAATAAAAAGTTTATTAACAATGAAATCAACAAATATAGTGTTTTCCGCGCTAGAAGGTCACGTTTTTGAAGCACAGGAGACAAAAAGCTACCGTAATCACCACTTTTTTTGCACATTTGCTCTAGAAAGTGTAAAAAACAAAGGTCTTGAAGCGAAATTTGGTGTACGATCTTTTTTGCAGCAGAAAAACGTGGCGCAGAATGGGCTATAACAGGGTAAAAAACAATCTTCAAGTTTAGAAAATTATAAAAATCAGAAAAAAATTTGACTAATCAACAAGAAGCTGTACTATAACAACCTAAAAACCTATATTAATATAATAATTTCTATAAAAAAATATCAAAAATCTAGCAGCCTTTTTGAGGATTCTCAACCGTTTCAGGACGAAATTGAAATGATCCGGTACAGGAACTCCGATTCTGATCGGTTCCGCATTTGCTCGTAGAGGTTGGTAGGTTACCTGAAATTTCAGACTTTATGGTGATCATTTTCTAGACTTTTTCATTTTTCCAAGCGTAGTACAACTCGAAGAACTTGTCAAATGTCACTTGTTCTCTTCGAAATTCCAGAATGTTTTGCTTTACGAGCTTTTAACTCACTGTTAATAGTAGAAAATTCCAATTTCCTACAGTTTTTTTGGAGATAAATCTTTATTAAATCGCATTAAAAACTACAGGACGACTCTGTGAAAAAAATTTTTAGTGGCCACTATAGGGTTTTTGAAGTTTTAGTAGCCATTACAGGTGTTAAATTAGCGGCCACTTAAGGGGTTGAAAATTAGTGACCATTATAGAGGTCTAAGTGCTACTGCTGGACCACTAAACATGTTAGCGGCCACTTTAGGGGTCAATGGACCATCATAACTGATCCAATCTGTTTGTTTTAAAATTATAAGAGTTACTGGAAGGAATACTGCATGAAAAACTACTGAAGTGGCAACTAACACGGAAATTAGTGGACACTATAGAGGTGGGTTTAGTGGCCACTTTAGTGTGTTCTCAAAGTAGTCCTTGGCGAGCCTCTATAGTGGCCACTAAAATTTTTCCAGCTTATTGAAAAAAGAAGGTTCAATAATAACTTCTACACAGCGCTTATCTGTAGATTTTCAGAAAAGCCGATTTTTTTTTCTAAAAACCGGATAGATTCTTCTACTCTTTGTTTCCAAACTAGATTAATCTTTTTAGAAAAAACCTCTGAAGCTTCTCAAAAGTTTTTACAAACTTCAACCAACCTGCTTGCAGTGGAGGAACATGGGCAGCTTTCTCGTATGATTTTCGCTGATATTCAGAAGACCGAGCGTGTAATTGGGCAGCCTACAATTAAATCGATGTTTCTTGGAAAGTTCAAATAAGATTCCGACTTGGGAGGCCTGGGACTTGTCGAAATGTACTTGGGCTCGCCGATCAGCGGACATTTCGAGTAGCCAAGATGGGCCCGGACTTGATGGCTCACTTCTAGAAAAGTGGATATTTTGAAGACATTTTTTTTCTGACAAAAAGAGATATTTTACCATTTTTTCTTCTGAAAATTTGAAGAATTGATTCGTTTTTTTTTGGGTTCATTTCTGGTTAAAAAAATAATTGTACATATTACACCGATTTTAAAATAAAGCATACATTTTTTTCAACCATTACCCGCCATAGAATCTGTCTGTGAGCGAGAAATAAAAAAATTTTTATTTCAAAAAAATCATAAAATTCGAACTTTTCTTTTGAAAAAACCATAGGATTTGAATTTTCCTTCAAACTAAACAGAAACCTTAAATTTTCAGATATTTTTTTGAATCACTGAAACTCTCTTTTTGCCCACTATTTCCTCAAATCTTGCCAAGAACCTTCGCTTCAAAATAAGTATTTATTTACATAATTTTTCTAACTAAACTACATAAGACAACTGTTTCTTGAATTCTTTAAAATTGAGCATAAATTCCTTTTTTTGTTAAAAATCCAAGAAAAAAAGTTGGAAAAATAATTTTATTGAATTTTTCGAGATAATTGGATCACCAACCAGCCGTCGTGACGGCCTCCAATTGAGATATATATTTATCCCGGGTTATTGTCTTGCAATTCGTTTTCACGTATAGAATTTCGCCTCGCTGATTGTTGGATTTCAGTTGGATCATCTGGAAAAATATACTTTTTGTGAAATTTTTTTCATCTTTTTTTCAAGAACATATTCCTGTTTCGAATTTATATTTTTTTAATCAAAATTTAAAAAAACATTACTTTCGCTTTCCTTCGTAAAAATCTCTAGAATGGTTCTTATAGGGGCAACCTTAGGGTCCCCTCTAGGGTTCTCTTTACCTGCACCTATAGGGAAGGACTTTCAACCTCAAATTCAACAAGAAAACTTGAAAAAATCATCAAAACTTTCCAATTATGTTAAAATTATTCATACCTTAAAATAAGGTTTTTAATAGCGAAAAATTATACGTTGCTGAGAAAAGAAGTCACAAAATTCCTCGTAAAATGATCAAAAAATCACCTTCATATCCCCGCCCTCGACACGTTTGATCAATGGGATATCGATAGTCAAATCGTCTTTGGGTAAAACTCCACGGACAATCGTTCTGAAACAGCCTTTTCAGGATAGTTCTTTCAGATTTTGAATTGAAAGACCCCGTGGCTACAGTATAACTTAATCGCGCGTGACAATGATCCTTTAATATCGCTTCATTTTTTCGACTTTTTCCAAGCAGTTAGACCGAAAAAGATCGGCAAAAAAAGTGCGTGATATAGCTGACTTGTGGCTGGCTTGATCCACCGAAAAAATGGGTCCTGACACGATCATCTTTTGATCGCGCGTGAAGATGATCCTTCAATAGCGCTTCATCTTTCGACTTTTTTCCAAGCCGTTAGACCAAAAAAGATCGAAAAAAAAGAGCGTGACTCATGGCTGGCTTGAGCCATCGATAAAAAGGTCCTGACACGATTTTTGAAAAAGAGGGCGTGTCCAGTTAGTGGAGAGCGCAGACAGGCCACGCCTCTTTGAGTCCCAAGCCGTTAATCGGCTATAACTAATCGACGCGAAAAGGTACTGTAGCTACGGGGGGCGGAGTTACATTCAAAAACTGAACAGTTCTCCTTAATTTCGTGAGCAAACCTATAAACTTGCTGGGAGAGACCATCTTTGATTTGCCCCTGCAGAACGGATTGCACGGAGGCGCTTCTAAAAAATGAAAAAAATATGATGGCCTATTCAAATTAATTTAAAGCTTTAGGAAGACTTCTAATTGTTCCGTAAATTAACCTGGCCTAGCTTGAGGCTTGAGAAAAAGAAAAAAAGTACATTTGATTATTTTTTCCCGAAGGTACATTTAGATCGTGATATAAAAAAATGATGAATTTTTTTCCAAAGAAATATTCCAAAAATAAGTGCTGCAATTATTCCAAATTGAGTCATTTTTTCCCAAGATGACTGTTTCTTTCAAAATTAAACTTGGCAAAGACCATGACGCCGGATTCGTCCTTCGGCGGCGCCCTCACGACGTACAATCGTTCGCATTTCGGAGCGACTTTCGCCTTCAAAAATGTGATTTCATATTTCAAATCTGACAGGGAATTTTCTCAGCTCACAGTGGGGTTTCTGAATGAGACTAGGCTCACTATAGTCCGTTCAGATTTCGAATGTCAAGACGTCGCTCAAGCTCCGCCCCTAATGGCCCGAAAAGCCAATCAGAGAGCGAGCCATTCACAGAGCGCTTTCGAATGACGTCATTGTACTTGACATTTAAAATCTGAACAAACTGTAGATTTATTTTTCTACGCTTATTCCGAATCTGTGCTCAAAAGTAGCCCTTGAGACCTGTGAAAAAAGTTAGGGACTCTCAAAGTCGAAAAATTAGATGTCTCTGTGAGCCTAGTCTCATTCAGAAACCCCACTGTGAGCTGAGAACATTCCCTGGTGAGAATTCTGAAAAGTCATACATACAAAAAACCAGATTGACTTTGGAGATCCTCAAAAAAGTCACGATATTTTTCCCTCTATTGCTTTCTAACGATTAAGGGGAGTAATTTGAATGTTTCAAAAAACGAGGGCTTTGAAATTCCTTCAATAAATTCCTAAAAGAAGCGTGAGAACTTGAAATTTCATCCAAAAATTTTGAAGTTCTTTCGTCTTCCTCATAAATAAACATTTTTTTAATTCTTTAATATTGATTTCGTTTCAACGTTTTTCCAAAAATTCTTCTCAAAAAAATGATTAATATGTTCAACTTTCTCATACCCACCTTGACAGCCTGTAAAATGCGATCAAACTGCGGCCGATTTTCCTTGGAGCCAGAATAAGCCATTCCAAACGGTTTGTCAAACGCAATGATCTCACCTTAAAAAAATTAATACATTTTTTTTCTGTAACTTTTCTGTTAAAACCATCATTATACAAGACACGATTGGCCATGAATTCGGCCAACTGGTCCAATTTCAGCTCCCATAATGGAGGCAAACGGGATCGGATCTGGAAAAGTCATTTTTGGCAGGGTTTTGAAGATATTTGTGTCTTTTTGTTTTTTTATGATGAAATTCAATCCTAGGTTGTTTTTGTGGACACTGGATTTGTTTTAAAAAAATCATCCGATCTACCAAATGCATTTTTTTTGAAAAAATTTGATATTTTTTTAAAAAAATAATCTATTCTTTCAAAAATCTTAAAAACCATCCGACCTTCTAATTTAAAAATTTGAAAATTATATAAACTGCTTAAATTGAAGACAATTTTTTTGCAAACATTCTTAATTTTTCCCAGAGACTTTGTATTGAAAAAAAGAATGGATTCCCTAAAGTTTAAAAAAATCTTCAATAAATACATAAGCTTCTGTGAAAGTTCTCTGATGAAAAATTAAAAATTATTTGATTCAAGCCTCGTAAAAAAATGATAGAAATTTTTTTATTTTTTGTAATTTTCCTGTAGAAAAAAAGGCCCGAAAAAAACAAAGAAAAAATTAAAATCAAGAAAAAAACCAAGAAAAAGTCCAATAGAAAGCGATTGAACTATTTTTCGAAACTTCCTAGAAACACGAATTTTTTTCGAATTTCTTTTGAAAAAAACATTGAAAAATCACAACTTTTCTCCAAAAATATCACCTCCTGAATTCCATTCAACGGCTTCGTTTCCAGCCCCGACTCTTCATCGTCCGGCAAAACTTCCATTTTTTGGAATTTCGGGGCTTTTCGTTCATTTTTCCAGTTCTCCACTCTTCTCGGCTGATTTTTCTTGTTCTTCTTTTTCGTAAGACTCGAAATTTTCAGTTCGAGGTCTTCTAAAAAAAGGGAAAAAAATCTTGTTGATATTAAAATTATGCGTTAAAAATATTAAAAAAATAAATAGCCATTCGCTTCAAGACCTTTTCAGAAATTCTCAAATGTCCCTTTAAAATTAGAACGAAATTGCATGAAAACTCCTAAGAAAAACTGCAAAAAACTGAATTTTCAAGAAAGGAGCTCATATTTTTTTCAAAATTTGAGCTTTTTCAATGGTTTTCTTGAAAAAAATTGTGCGAATTCGAGAATTTTATGTCAACTTATTGAAAAAAATATCTTCAGGAGCGCTTTTACTGGATTAACACTGAATTAAATTTTGCTGGCTTCATGATGTTCATAGACAATTCCCACATTGCTCAAAAAAATATAAGTTTTCTATTTCTAATCTACCAGAAACATTAAAAATCGTTCTTACCTAACAAATCCTCTTGAATCGTTTTTCTTATTGAAAACTCTTTTTTGACCCTTGAATTCATCATTTTCCGACGGTTCTGCTTTGAACATTGATTTCCTTCGTTCAAATTCAGGCCCTCTTGACTGATTATCATTCTCCTCATTCAACTGGAAATTTTCGTCTCGAGGCCTTCTGGAAAAAGATTAACAATGAAAAACTTTAAAAAAACCAAGCTTCAAAAAGAAAAATAAAAAAATTGTTGAAAAAAATGGAAAAAGTCTTCTTTTTTTGAGCTTTTTCGGAAGATAACAGGATTTCCTACAGAAAAAGCTGAACGCAATTAATTAAAATAAAAAAAATTCTGTATCATTTTTTTAAGCTATTTTCGATATGCAGAAAAAGTTCAAAGTCAAATTTCAGAATATATATATATACGCTTCTTAACGCTCTTGAGATCAAAATTTACGAATATAAAGCTATTTTTCGACTTTCAGAGCATTTAAAATTGATCTTTGAACCTTCACAGTTTTTCCAAGCGTTCTCAACACTCTCAAAATCAAAATTCTCTAGTTTCAACTCATTTTGATGCTATTTTTCGGCTTTCTGACGATTTCAAAGTCCGTTTTAGCATTTGAAAGCTCTTAAATTTCGGGGTTCATTCTAATTTTCACCTCTGAAAGTCCCTCGGATCTTGTTTCCTCTTATTGAAATACTGATGACTGAAGTAGTCCTGCTGGGAATCGTCCGTATTTTCCAAATTTAGTCGATTTCCGGCCTCGGTTTCATTTTCTGTTGCTTCGTTGCGCCTTTCATATTTCTAAAAAAACACTATTTATTTCAAAATTCACTAATTACAAAGTTTTTTCGTGAATCTATTTTACTGAGCAATTGACATCGTTTTTATAGGTTAAAATAACACTAAAAAAACTGTTCGCCTCAAGACCTCCAAGAATTTTTTCGCATGCTCCTTTAAAATCCTGGAAATCTTTTTTAACAACTTTTAAAGCTCTAAAAAATTTATTTCCAACAAAAAATCACCTCAATACCCGGAAAAAACTGTTCATCGAGGTAGTCCGTTCCACTGGGCTGTTCTTTCAATATCCTTCTTTTCGATGGCTCAATTTCGTTCTAATAAATCATTCAAATCAACTTTAGAACTCGAAAAAGCTGGGAAACTTTTTTTCATCTCCTCCTTTTGCGGCTGAAAAACTCGTCGAGGAAGTGTACTCGATGCCGAAAAAAATCGTCCTTTTCGCCCATTTTTTTGGTCGAGAAGCTTCAATTTTCTTTTTTTAAAAAATAAAATAGTTCAAAACGATATAACCAACAAAAAAGTAACTTCAAGTGATTTTTATTGAAGAAATTCTCTTACAAAGGGTTCGTTTTTGAGAAAAATTTGAAAGGAAAAACCTTTTTTTCCTTTCAAATTCTAAGCTTCATCCTTTATTTCCCTTCAAAAATCATGCTTTTTTTCCGAAAAAAATTCAAATTTTATCTTTCTGCTAGAAAATGAAAACCTTGAAAAATCGAAAGAAGAAATTTCGAAAAAAAAATAATATCTTCGAAAATTTCGATAAACCTTCGAAAAAAATGTTCATGAAAGTCATTATCAGGTATTTGATACTGCTTACTTTATCTCAAAAATAATAAATACTAAAAAAGTCATTTATCTTCGGAAAAAACGTGATAAACGTGTCAATAAATAAACAGTCATCAGAAGGCCAAAAACAAGGGAAACAAATCAACAATCCTAAAACAATGAAATTATTATATTTCGAGCTAATCTAGGCGGCTAAACTATACATTATATAAGAAGTTGGGAAACAAAAAGTGAGAAAAAACGAACGAACAGATCTAAAGAGTTTTCGGAGGCACCAAAAGGAGTTTACAATGAGAAAAAGAAGAGAATAAGGCCAAAAAAGGAGGGAAAATGAGGAATTATTGGGGCGGTTGTCCCTCGAAAGCCTTGGCGGCCGGGTTGTCCTTGGGCGAGTTGGAATAATCGGGCTTCAATCGTTTCTCGGCCAACTCTCCGTACGGATTGAACCCGAGTCGCTCCATTTCGGCCTTCATCTGCTTCTTCTTGTTCTTGGGGTCCTGGAAATGAAAATATTTATTCTTCACTTATAAAAACTTCGAGCTTCACGTAGAAAAAGTACAGAGGCCCGTTGAAAAAAATGATTTTTTGCTCCTAAAACATGATATTTCAGTTAGCACCCTGAGCTTTCTTGTTTTTGAAATTCTGTCAAATACAAATTCACTGTAACTGAAGGAAATTTCCCATAAAACAATCAGGAAACCTTTAAAAAAAGACTGCGAAAAACTTCTGACAGTTTCTAACAAGGTCATTTTTCCCTTTGGACTCTAGGGTATTTTCTAAAAATCTTCGGTACCTCAGGAACGTTAGAGTAGTCCCTAAAGGGACCATCTTAAAGGAACTTGAAGGTTCCCCCCTAGGGTTCCCTATCTTGAACGAAAAAAAAAAAAGAAAACTCTGCGCCAAATTCCAAGAAAAAGCTCATCAATCCTTAGATACGCAGGTGCCTACCGTAACCCGGCTACAGTTGGGATAAAAATTAGTGTCTCCTGACGTCATATGAGAACGCTGATTGATATTACATCGAAATTTAAAAGTATCCAACGTTTTCGAGAAAACTCAAAGTCCTACCTTCTCCTCGTTGCTCAGGGCGGGCAACATTTCGGTGAAAACTCCGGTTCCAATCGTCTTGGATCCTTTACGGATGGTGAATCTCTGCTGGGGCTCGATGAACATCAGAGAGTTCAGGTGGAGCTCGACCCTGAATAGTTTTGGAATTGTTTACTTTTCTCCGAGATGGCATGCAACAACTTTTCGTAGTGTAAATGTATTTTTGAAGATGAATCTCTTTATTTTTATTTTTTGTTCTATTCAAATCTTCTAGCCTACACGATCTACATAATCGTGAAAAAATGTCAATTTTACGCGCTCTAAACTCATTCACGCTGAGTAAACGTCTGTTTACGGCCTTCCGATTTGTAAAACTCAAAAAAGATTATTGATTTTCTATAGTTTGAAGCTGTTGAAGCTATACCTCTACAGAAAAAAATACCGAAGCAATATTTTCAGACCTCGAAAAAAATTCTTTTTTTAAAAAAACTACACTCACTTTAATACTCCGCATCTTCAGCTTCATTTTAATAAGAAAAGGATAATTTTCTTTTTGTCATCTTCAGACTTCCAAAAAAGCAAAATTGCCCCAGCTCTAACCATAAAGATATCTCAAAATATCCCCATTTCTTCCCAAAAAACGCACTCAGCAGCCTCGCCAGGCATGACAAAATCCTTTCCGACGAGTTTAACCGAGGCGCCAGTGTCCCAGGTCAGGGAGAAAACGTGTTCGCTGAAGTAGTTGGCGATTGGGGTCTTGGTGCCGCCTTCGCTCTCCTTCAGCACGTAGAGCTGAAAATCATCCCTTTAGTCGATAAACCTCTCCATAATTAGGAGGAGTACAAATTCTTTTCGGAACATTTTATCTGTAAAGCACCGAACCTCATGAAAATTTCAAGAACTGATAAATTTTCTTCAAGGATTAATGAAACTCAAACCATTTTATTGGGAAAAACATGACATTCCTGCGTTTTATCTTGCTTTGAAAATATGTTTTTGAGTAAAATTTGAAAAAAAGATTTGGACAAGTTATTGCGAATTTAGGACTTTCTATACCAGGGATGAAATTTTATAATTTTTCGAGATTTTGACTAATCCAAATTCACAATAGATGATTCTCAGAGCTTCTTCAATGATCTCCTTTTCTCATCCTAATCTTAAATCAAGCCATTTGCTTCCTCATTTTTTAAAAAAACCCTTTCCGGCCCATCACCTGAGCCTCAACCATATTTTGGTTTAAAAATTATAAAGCTACAAGTGAATTTTGGAACAAGATAGCTTCAACTTGAAAAAAAAGTTATTCAGTAATTTTCTTTCAAATCTACTATTTTCCATTTATTTTCCCCGTGCTCCCTACCTGAGCCTTGACCCGATCGGTAGCCACGTGCTTGTGTCCCTGTGGGAGCAGGACACAGCCGCGTCGGACGTCCTTGGCGCCGAGGCCTCGGAGGAGCACTCCGAGCTGATCTCCGGGCTCGGCCTGGTCGACCGTCTTTCGGAACGACTCCAGGCCTGCAATTGTCTCATTTGATTCCATTCTTACGGTTCTTCACTACCAGAGATGACAGATTTCACTGTTTCGGGCGTCTTGGAGGCTCCGACGATTTCAATCTTGTCACCACGCTTCAGGATTCCTCTCTCCAGTTTTCCGGTAATTACCGTACCACGACCTGGGGAAAAGAAAGAACTCATCAAAGCTATTTTTAGTTTCAAAATCAAAAAAAAAATCACCGATTATATGAGATTTATATACAACAAGATAATCTATTTGAGCATTTTTTTAAACCGTTTAATCGCGATTTTTTTTTTGGTAATATTTATTCTCTACTACCTATTGAATAAAATTATTAGGAATTTAACAAAAACTTGCATATTTCTGATTCAAAAAGTTCGTTTTTTCTCAATTTTTTTTCCCTTTTTCTCACCCTTGATGGAGTAAACGTGCTCGGCGGCGAACATCGGCTCGTCGTTGACATTTCTTTCGGGGATCACGAATTTGTTGTCCAGGACGTCCAGAAGGTCCTTGACGGCCTTCTCGCCGATTTCCGGCTGTTTTCCTTCCAAGGCACAAAGGGCAGAACCGAAAATCACCTGGAGAAGTGACATACATCAATAATCAATTTTCAGCTTCAAAAAATCAAAATTCAGCGAAAAAACCTCAAAAAAAACTGTAAGGAAGATTAAAAACGAGGGGAAGTAAGCTAGAATTCACAGAGGAAAAATCTACCGAATTTCCTAAAAAAATTCTTTTAAACTTCTAAAGAAGCGTTAAGTTTCGTACTTCAAGAGGAATTTTCGCAGTTTTAAACTAAATATTGAAATTCGATTTTTAGGAATCTTGTGTTGATTTTTCTCAACTCTTCCTCAAAAAAATTAAATTATCGTACTGGAATGGTATCTCCGGGGTAGCCGAACTCGTTCAAAAGCTCTCGAATGTCCATTTCGACGAGTTCGCGGGTTTCCTGGTCCGGAACCTCATCGACCTGGAAAAAGTCGAAATCACTTCGTCGGTCTGACAAGTCAATGAACTATCAAACTTCAATACCGATTCAAACTTTTTAACGTTGATTTTTTTTCGCAAAAATTTTCATCTCTGTGGACATATTTCCCTATTTCAGTTCAATGTTTCATGATAACTTAAAAAAACTTTCAACCGCCAAATATTTATTACTGTTTGTCCCCTGTTCTTTGATCCTGCTTATAATTGCCTTGGAAACAAAAAAACCTTCAAATTGAACAAAAATCTTGGAAAAAAAAAAAAATTGGTAGATCTCTCAATATTTTCCCTGTTTTCACAATACTTTTATGTTTTTCCCTCCTATTATAAAATTTCAATTTTAACGTTTTGTGAGCATTTTAGAACGCTTTTATTTGCACATTTTGCACACTTTGAAAGGAGGTAAAAAAACGTTCCTTGGTTACATGATATAAAAATTTGAAAGGTAAATGAAGAGAACTTCTCTAAAAATATATGTATTTCAAAAAAACCTCTGAAACACGACCAATCATCACTTCCTTACCTTGTTCATGAAAACGGCGACATTCTCTCTTGGGATTCCAACTTGTCGGGCCAGAAGCAAATGTTCTCTGGTCTTAAAAAAATATTTAGAAATATTCATTTTTTTCACTCAGAAAAAAACCTGAGGCATAGGTCCATCCGTGGCGGCCACGACGAGGATAGCTCCTTCCATTTGAGCGGCTCCAGTGATCATGTTCTGCAAAAAAATCAAGTTTTTAAACTAAAAAAATTATTCAATCCCAATTTTAAAAAAATTGATCAAATTCCATTCAAAAGCACTCACTGAAAGCAGAAAAAAGCTAAAATCAACTTCAAACTTCAAAAATACCCAAAAATCAAGGTCCCGGTCAAAATTAGTCATTTTTATTATGCAAGATTATTAAAACATTATGAAACTTGTTTGAATTTATGCTTATATTAGGTTTTCACTAGAAATGTACAAACTGAAGTATAAAATAATTAAAATTGTGCACTAAACGAATTTTAGAGGCTTAAAAATGCAAAAAAGGTTGAAAATCAACTGGGAGATCAAATTCTACATCTTCAGATTGTACTAGATTCAAAAAATAATCAGAATCCATAGTTGACTTGAATCTTAATAAACAGAGGCGGTGTATAAGCATTAAAAAATACTCACTCTTATTTTCCAAAAATTAATTTAAGCATCGTGTTCCCCTCAATTCTTCTCAAACAGATATAACTTCGAAAAATCGGCAAAAGATTGTACAAAACTTCATGAATTGCGCTTGAAAACACCTGAAGGCTTTCCAAATCTGAGCAGTTATACTTTAAACGATGATTTTTGCATTTCAGAACCAAGCTTGATGTTTTAATACTCTAAATGCTTCAAGGTTTGCACGAAATTAAAAAATGACAAACTTAGTCCAAAGTTCAAAGTGTGTTTTACAAAACCTTAATATCATCGAAATTAGTACATTTGTCCCTACGTACTGTTACCATAGATGCTTCTCAAACAGAACTAACTCCAAAAATGACAATTTGAAACAAAGTCCACAAAAAATTCTTGAAAATAGACGCATTTTATTCGAAAATCGAAACATTTTGCTTCAAAAATCTTCAAATCTGACAAAATTGAACCTTCAAAGATCATTTTCCCATTTCAAAACCAACCTTGATGTAATCGGCGTGTCCCGGACAATCAATATGGGCATAATGCCTCTTTGCGGTCTCATATTCCAAATGGAACGCATTGATTGTGATTCCTCGGGCTTTTTCTTCCGGGGCATTATCGATATCTTCGTATTTACGGTACTTGGCTCCCTTCGAAGTGGCGAGAACTGAAAAATTCGTATGATTTTATTCATTTTTCCCATATTTTCTCACCCTTAGTGATAGCCGAGGTCAGGGTAGTTTTACCATGATCAACGTGGCCAATGGTTCCCACGTTCAAGTGGGGTTTGTCACGCTAAAAATAACTTCTTTTTCAAGTTAGTTCATTTGGAATGAACCTTGAAAGCAGTTTTTCCACCGGGAACCGCCAAGCTTCTCGATTGAATGAAGGCCAACTGGGCCAACTGCTTTTCGCAAAGCGAAAGGGATTCTAAACGACAGAACAAGTTCTGTGAATACCTATATAGTCTTTATGATGTGATATATATTTTTTTAGAAGCATCATAAAACGCTAAAATGATGCAATTTTTCGGCTATATGCCTATATTAAAAAAATTGAAAAAAACCTATTCAAAAAGTCAAATTTAGTGCATTGAAAAGGTGCAGAACTTTCAATGGTCATTAAAAAAACAAATGCAACGCTTTCCGTCTTTTATTTCCTATAGAAAAGGTTCAACTCAAACTAAATATGCTGTAAAAATAGTTAACAACTATCATTAAAGAAATTGATATAAACAAAAGATTCGTCGCTCGATAAGAAACAAAAAAAGTGAAACTTTTAATTTTAAAAACATACTGAAAAAAACCGTACTGATCAGTAGAAAGATTATTTTACATAAGTTATCTTTAAAAATAGTTTTTATAAACGAGTTTTTCAAAAAAAGGCACTCAAAAAATGATCTTTTTTTATGGAAACAGTTCTCAAGCTTTTTGCACAGGAAATTCAAGCCAATTATCACTTTGAAGGAACCCCAATATAACATAGAAAACAACGAACTAAGACACAATTCGAACTCTAAAACTGTAGCAAAAACTTACTGCTGGCCCCGGGAAGCGACTTTCCAAGAAGCGTCAAAATTTGCATGATTTTCCGATCTTGGTCCCCAAACTTTCAACCCTCAACCGAACATTTTCATTGAACGTATCGTTGATCATGCGATAACGCGATACATTGGAAGAAAAACGCAGAAAAAAGCTTAAACAGAAAGAAAAAGCGGAAAACGTTCTAAATTAGGCGAAATTGGCAAAGCGCACGCCCCAGACACAAAACCGCACATCTCACGCGAACTCACATACTACCGTAATCAAAAATACAGCGAATTTTTCAATGTGACGCTTTTTTTTGTTAAAAAAAAAACTTTCAAATCAACAAAAATCATTTATAAAGAGAAGTGAAAGTTAACAAGTGTCAAGAATGTACAAAAATTTTGGCTTATAAAAACTCAGCACATAAAAAACCTAGGAAAAAGTGCCATTAAAGGAGCACCGATGGCATTTTGGAAGGCTTGAGAAAACAGACACGTTTAGCTAAAAATTAAGGGGGGAGGTGACAATTTGGAAGCTATAAAGCATGAAAATGTACAGAAAAAACGTGGTGGAGACGGATTAAATATGGTCATCGAATTGGAGAAATCCGACGTAGAACTGTCCGACGGAGCGACAAGCCGGGGGAAGTCGGTGGCTGCTTTTAAGGAGGACTTCCATCAGTTGCATGCAGCAGTTGAGCGGAATTTCCAGTAGTCCAACCGAGGAATCCTCGCCGTTCGCTCTTGGGTCACTGGAAATGGAAATTTCGAAAATTACTTCATGCCTAACTTCATAAAAATTAAATTTTCACGCTTTTTCACGAAAAACTTGATAAATTTAAATCTTATCAATCATTTGACAAATAAGGACTGATAGAATTTTTTTCAGATTTTTCAAACCTTCAACGCAACTTTTTTTAACTTGACTACGATGTTGTACGAACAAAATTTGTGATTCAATCTCAAACCCTTGAAAAATTATTCTTGTCCTTTATTCAAAAAAATAAAAAGTTCTAACAAACACAAATTTCTGATTTTTCGAATGAAGAGTTTGCACACATGCTTATTAATGGAAATCATATTAATTGAGAACTTAAGCTAATTTTTGAAACAGTAATCTATTTTATTTTTTTATATATTTATACCAGTTCTGTGAAACATTTTTAGTGGTCACTTGAGTGGTTCCTCAAGGACTACTTGGAAAGGACACTGGCCACTAAAATCACCCCTTCAGAAGCCAATAAATCGCATTCAAGAGGCGACTTAAGTAGTTTTAGTAGTCTAGTAGTGCCCCTTAGACTTCTAAAGAGGCCGTTGATTTTTAGCCACTTAAGAGGTCCCACTAAATTCGACTACTATCAGTGGTCACTGAAATCTCAAAACGCCTAGGGTGGCCACTAACCATTCTCACAGTTATTATTTAAATTTTTGAAATTTTGCTTTTTTCCACATTTCTCGTACATTATATTCTCGTTTTAAATATACACATTCTGAAAAATGTGTTTCTTCAAGGTTCTAAAACATTCTAACTCAAGACCTAGCCGCGGAAACCGCATCGAAGACCTTGTAGAGAAGTTTGACGGCCGGGAAAAGGGTTCAAGAACAACTGAAAGTCATATTTTCTGATCAAATATCGATCATATCGATTTTTTTACCTCCAGATTCATCGCCAGAATCTTCCTCAAGCTTTTCCAGTTGACCCGTGGCCAGAATCACGTAGGAATCCAGCAGCCAGATCTACGAGGATACTAATGAGAATGATTTAAGTGAGGCTATGAGATCGAAAAATTGAATTTTTTTCATGAAATTTTTTTAGAAAAAAAGCTCTAAAAACTTTTCTACACAAAAATAGAGGTGATTTTACTACAAAAAAATCTATTTTTTTTCGAATAAAAATTATAAATTTTTCACTCTGAATCTCACCAAAAGATGAGGAGTCCGATCTAAGGACCTGACGATCAGTTTCAGACTTCCTTGTGCTTCACAAGTCGAAAGGACGAGTTGAGCCATGAAAACGGAAATGTTTTGGGGCCTGAAATAAACAATTTTTGGAGTATAAATTCGATATTTTTGGCTTTTTCTCAGAAATTTAGCAATAAAAAAATGCCCAAGAAAAAAACTAACTTTTCAAATGAATTTTCGTTCGAAGCCGACTCTAACAAACAGGACTGAACTAATATTATCTTAATTTTTTTCAATCTTTCTATAAAACACAACTGAAACAGGAAAAACAAGCTTCTAGTTTAACTTTGCTAATCTCTCTGTAGAAATCGATTTTCACTCAAATTTATTCATGTAGCATCTCTATCCCAACAAAAAAATCGCTCCAGGAAAAATTTCAAAACAAAAAGAAATCATCCAACAGCTTTCCTTCTTGCTCCAAAAAAATGCTCAAGAAATCGAAAAAGACAATATTATGAAAACAAAAAAAATTCAATAAAAATTTATCCATGGAGCACACTTAAACCAAAGAAAATCGTCTCATAAGCTTTTAAAATAGGAAAAACCCTTCAAAAATTTCTGCCTTGCTTCAAAAAAGCTCAAAAAAATTTAAACACCACTCAAAAAATCGATTTTCATCTAAATTTATCTTTGGAGCACACTCAAACCAAGGAAAATTGCCACAGAAGCTTTCAAAAGAGGAAAAACCTTTTAATAGTTTCTGTCCAGCTCCAAAAAGGCTCAAAAATTGAAATCAATCGAAAAAAAAACCGATTTTATATTCAAATTTATCCATGGAGCACACTTAACCCAACAAAAATCGCCTCAGAAACTTCCAAAATAGGAAAAATCTTTCAACAGTTTCTGTCTTGTTCCAAAAAGGCTTAAAAAATTATAATCTATTGAAAAAACCGATTTCCATTCAAATTTTTGCTTGGAGCACCTCTAGCTTAACAAAAATCGCTTCTGGTATTCAAAATAAACAGAACGCTTGAATAGTTCCTTTTCTCGCTAGAAATGCACTCAAAAATTATTCTTAACCGCTGAAACCGATTTTTCATTCAACTTTATCCATGGAGCACACCTAACCCAATAAAAACAGCCTCAGAAACTCACGTTTTTTCAATATACGGCTGCCGGTTGCCGCCAACAGTCAAGGTAGCAGTAAGGTGATTGAAAGAGAACATTTCAGAATGATCTTCAATGAAAAATCTTTTATTTGAAGGAATAATTTCCAAACATTTCTGTACACGGCCGAGTTCCGCTCGGCAACTCGTACAAATCACATTTTTCCCTTCGATTTCCACGGAATTCTCCAGGATGCTCTGGAAAGATGGGGGTTTCGAGGTTGATGGGTCCTGGAAACCTCCTTGAAGACGACGACATTCGTGTAGCTGATCATTAGTCTTGTGGGGGTTGGAAGCCATTCATTTGCGGCTTTTCCCTTGTCTACCGACCCCGTGTTTTCCGTGTTTATGTCTACAAAATTGGCAGGATTGACTGACAGAGAGGTAACATCACTTGAAAATAATCAAAAAATGGTCAGGCCAATTCTTGATATTCCAGATAAAAGATCCTGAAAGTGTCAATCTGCACAACTTCTCAGTTTTCGAAAAATCAGGGCTCTAAGTCAAAAAATGACCTGTTTCAGCGGTTTTTTGGTCTTTGTCCTGAAATGTCGAGACCTTTTTCTCGAAAATTAGTCAGTTTTCTAAATTGAGGCTTCCAGGAGCTTCATCTGATGCATCATGAAGTTTTCTAGCCAATTTTCAGGAAAACGCCAACCAAAAAGTAAATTGACCTTCCTAGTAAAAAACTCCGAATTTTTTCATTCATTCAAAAAATATTTCAAATCATATCTCCGTTCATGGAATTACAATAACTTAAGTAATTTCATAGTTACCGATTTTTTGTTAAACTGAGAAACATGAACCCTAAAAGGAGCAATGGCTAAACCCCTATAGTGGCCCCCTTATAGGAGAACGTAAGATGATCCCTAGAGGGGACCTCCAAGGGCCCTAAAGTTACCCCTAAAGGGACCACTCTTCAAGTTCAATTTAGATGTTTTCTCTCAATAAAAGGCCCACCTATCCGGATCGCAAGCAGCCCCGCAACTATCCCTACAATAAAAGTCAGCCGACTGGGAAGTCGCCAGCCATTCGTCGTCCGGCAGACATCCGATAGTCATTCTAGAATCGATTTCCTATCTTTTCCATCTTCCTGAGGATCACCAACTTATTCTCTTCTAGAAGCAGGGAAGCAGAACATCGGGAGCAGGATAACTGGGGTTGTCCTCGGTTGGCAAAAGCCTCTAGCTTGTCGAAGTCGCACATGTCCCGTGCCAACTTGTGGAACGTCTTGGGGACTGAAAGAAGTTCGGTGATGAAGGCTTTTTTTCAAATTGAGTAAGCTGCAGATCAAATTTTGAAAAGATAAATATTATTCGTGCTATGGATACTCGCCTCGGACCTTTCTTAAGAGTTCAAGTTATCACTTAAGAGTGCTGAGTGCGGTAGCTGGCGGAAAATTGACGACATCGCGAAAGTGCTGCTTATAGGTTTTGGCTTTTGCTTGGCGCGATATCGCAGTTTCCGCTATTTTCAAAATTTTTTTTAAACGCGTGAGAAAATCACGAAAAAAAGCGATATCGTGCTAAGAAAATTGACAAGAAACAAGCGATATCGCTGACGTTACATTGAACACCTCGCAAAAGTGCTTCTTTGTAGCCGCACCGTTCATCAAAATTCTGTACCGCGATATCGCAGTTTTGCAATTTGAACTTCTTTTTGAACTTCAATTTTTTTTTTTTGAAGTGCGTGAGAAAAAAACGATATCGCGCTAAGAAAAATGACAAGATACAAGCGATATCGCTGTCCGCACGTTGACGACATCGCGAAAAGCCCTGCTTTGTATCCCCGCCGTCTTGCATTTTGCTTGCCGCGATATCGCTATTTTAAAACTTTTCTGAGTGCATGAGAAACGCGATATCGCGCCAACAGAAATGCGAGACCGACGCGGCGACAAACTTACGAGGTTGTCGAAATACCACCAGCGACATCGCTTTTCTCTCGCGCCTTTTATCTTCGATACACTCTCGAAAAACTGCTTCTCACCGAGAGGAGCTCCCTTCGACTCGGCGTGCACCTTGCACATGAAGAGCCGGTGATTGTCGGCCCAGGTCGGGGCGCACAACGTCCTCGGGGCCATGCTCAGGCCTCGGATGGAGGCTCCGAAGCGAGGTCCGTTCTGCGGCGACCGCGACTTCTTCTTCCTTCCACTTCCGCCGCTCCCGGCGCTGCCGACGCTGCTGTCGCTCCCTCGTCGTTGACTTCGCTTCGACTCGACGAGATCTTTGAGCAATGGCGGGGCGCCGAGTTGGACACAGTGCTCCAGGACTCTCACGACCTCCAGGCCTTCGATTCCGCTTTAAATAGGGGAGGTTTTTCAAGAGAGTTTTGAAAATTTGCTCAAGTATTCTGTCTGGCTGCGCAAATGTTCAGTATTTTTCGGAAAATCTGAGATTTTTGAAAATTTTCGATAGATTGAGCTGTAACTATTTTTATGAAAAATGTTTACCTTTTGAAGAAAAAAACGTTTTTCTTAATTTCAAAATTTTCGAAAAAACGAAAGGTTCTTAGAACTATCGATAGACGGAAATAGAACCATAGAGAATTTTCAAAATCGGCCAAATTCAGCTCAACTTTTGAAGGAAGTCCTTTATTTCAAACCCGCAGAAGAGAATTTTAAAAACTGGCCAAATTTCTATCAATTTGTTGCTAAAAATTTCCGAAAGGTTCTTTTTTCCCCTCACTAACTTCCCATTTTTGACGCAGGCCGTCACTTCCGCCGGAGTCTGTGGCCTTGAGAAAGTCTTAGTCGTGCCGTTGACCTTCTTCTCGGAATCAGCGCCGTCGCAATTCTCCTTGGAGCTCAGGGCCGCTGAGAGAACCGACGGCGGACAGTCGACGAACAACGACGCCAAGTCCGATCTTGGTTTTACCTCAAAAATCGACGACTATTTACTCCATTACTTTCATTGAATCAAGTTGAAAAGTCACAAAAGACTCTAGAAAAGGTCATTAGTGGTTCCAACTCCTTTCAACTGATGTATTGAAAAAGGCTGATATTTTGTTAAAACAAAAAACGTTTGGAAGCGAATCTGACCTTTAAATTGTTGAAACAGTTCTGCATTTCGCAGTTCTGAAACACGATTTCTTGAAAAATCTACTTTTTCCGTAGATGATAACCTTTTTTAATCCCCCGGGTTCATCTTTTCGCAGGTTTTACTTGAAAATTCATTCTTCTCATCCAAAATGTGTTTATTAACACTCATACTCTATTCACCGCTAGTTTTGGACTCTCAAAAATTGTCTAATCCTCTCATTTTCACACACTATTTTGCCAAGCCGGCTATGAACGAACCAAAAAATTTTCTCAGCTCACAGTGGAACTTCTGAATGAGACTAGTCTCGCAAGATTTAGATTTTCAGGCTTATTCCTATAATTAAGGACGGGGAATACTACATTAACGTCTAAATCTCTCATTTCGCACACTATTTTGTCAAGCAGGCTGTGAATGAACTAACCAAAGAAAGTTCTCAGATCACAGTGGGACTTATGAAGTAGTTTTTTAAGCTAATTACTGGAGTTTAGGACGAAAAATGCTACAAAAACGTCTAAACTTCTCCTTTTCCCACACTATTTCTTCAAGCCGGCTGTGAATGAACTAACCAATGAGTGTTCACAACTCATAGTGGGACTTCTGGTAGCGTCTAGTCTCGCTAGATTTAGATTTTTAGACTGACTCCTGTAGTTTAGGACGAAAAAGGCTACATAAACGTCTAAACCTCTCAATTTAGTACGCTATTTCGCATTTATTCCCTCAAGCCAGCTATGAATAAACTAAAGTCAAAACTGCTCACCTCAAGGAAGATGGACCGGGATTTCCATTCGCCGCCGATTTCCGCCATCTTTCCTTGTTTCCACCCGAAAAAAATGAAAAGATAAGGCGGAAAACTTCAAAAGCGCGATAAGAAAAGTGTCCGGCGAAAATAAACTGAAGCAAAAAAAAAGAAAAAGGCAAAAGAATGCGAAGCAAAAAAAGAATAAAAGAAGCTCGAGAAGCATGAAAAACACGTGGTGGGGACGTCACCCCCGGGTTGTTTTTGGCCGGAAAATCCCGTTTATTTATTCATTTTATTGGCTCGAAATGGGATTAAACTGTATAATTGGATAATTTTTCCTATTTTTATTAATCAAGAAATCAATAAGTTGATCAGTTCACATGACATTTTTTTCATGTTCAAGAATAAAAAAATGCGAGAAAAATCTTTGAAATTAATATCATTTCTTAACAAAAATCTCAAAGAAGAAAAATCGTGATTTTTCAACTTGAATTTTTTTTCATAAGGCTAATTTTTCAAAACGAATTTTGTTTTGAATAATAAAAAAAGGTTAATTTTTCATTCTAAAAAAACTGGAATAAATATTTATTTTTTCTAAAAAAGATTCTTCAAGTAAAAAGAGAAAATTCAAACTTTTTCCTGGAAAATAAAATAAGTAAACGAACAAACGAATCATAAATATGACATTCCCATCCTAAAATCGGAAAAAACCTCTTTTTTTCAATGAAATTTTCTAATTGGAAACGAAAAAAATCGTCCTGGAAAAAAATTCCAACAATCTTTTTCTTCAGACAAGATCCGTAAAATAGATAAAAGGTTTCTTTTGTTTCTCAAAAAAAAAATCCACGAAATTGAGGACAAAGTTTGAAATTTTTTTTTCCTTTTCAAAAAAAAGATGGATAAGTCGGCTTATCCAGGATCAAAGAAGCCTCAAAAAGGAAATATACGTTTTTAGTTTTTGCATTTGCTCAGTTATATAAAAATAGATTTTTTTGAGGAAAAATTTTTCAACTTAAAAAAATATTTTTTTAAATAATCCATAGTTTAATCGAATATCAAAGCCCAAGAAATTTTAGATTATTGGAGAAAAAAACACGGTCATTTCTTGAAATCCTTTGCCAAGTTTAAAGGAGCATGGTCAAGTTTTGAAAAACATTTCTCGAGACGAAGAGCCAATTTTTAGTGTTTGTAGGGCATCCAGCTTCTCAAAAATAGAAAAATAGAGATTTTTAAATTATTTCGAACAGCTTAATGGTGTATTGTCTCGTAAAAACGCATCGAAGACTTTTTAAAAATTTTCATGAAATTAGAAAAACAAGGAAAAGCTTTAATTTCTAATTTTCAGCTTTATCTTTTGAAAAACTTCAACTTTCAAGTCCGAAACCTCTTTTTTGAAAACTTCCACCCAACTCAAAAGATTCTTCCAGTTCAAGAGAAGCTAACGGAAGGATAATCCGCACAAAAACGCCGAGAAAACCCCGAAAATACAGAACAACTTTATCTTGCCGTCAAATCGCAACAGTGACAAACCAAAAGAAAAGAAAAATGATAGGAGAAAAAATCGAGAGAGGCAAAGAAGTGGCTAAAACATTTTCGAAACCAAAAACAGGTTGTGAATAACGAATAGATTTTGCAATGCGTCTTCTATTTGATGTTGAATAAATGACTCAATAAGGGAAAACCATTAGAGAACTTTTTTTGGGGCCAATAAAAGTATGTGAGCGATTTTTTTACAACAAAAATCTCTTGGGAAGCTAAATATCGGTTCAATGTGAACCTAAATAGTTCAGGAAAAAACTCAAAGTACAGATATTCCTTCAACAAAGTGCTGGTGTGGATCTTCTGAGCGCGTTGAAACGATTTTTTGAGCCGAGAAGTTGGAAAATTAATTTTTTTTTTCGGCTCAAAACTCAATCTCAAAGCTTCAACTTGAGAAAGATCCCACTCCAAGCAAGAATTGGGCTTGACAAAAAGATAGAAAATGTGTCGAACTACCCGACAAACCAATTAAAAAACCAGCTACATGTAAAAATAACATATTCGCTTTACAAGTATCCGTCAACTCCAGAAATAGAAGATTATTCTCAAAGAAAATTGATTAAATATTCAGAGAGGCGAATAGAATTCACAAGAAAATCGATATTTAGAGACCGGAGTTTAGAAAAGGATCAGGGTTCAGTTGACAGAGAACAAACTTCATATTCAGAACTTCTTTAGTAAAAACCAGTAGCTTACCAAACTTACTTCATTTATAATGCAACAAAAATGTGAAAAACGCTAAACATAATTGATTTTTTCAGCTTCAAAACCATTAATAGACATAAATTTAATAAAAACAAAAGTTCAATTTAACCGCTTTGAAAATCTTGCTGCCATAAAACTTTTGAAAATCACTTTAAATCCAAGAAAATGGCCGTGGAACAATTATCGAGTATTACAGTAATCAAAAACCTTTTGGTAACATAAGGCGAGGGTTACTGTAGGTGTTCATGACATGACCATTCTAAAACAATCAAAGTTCGTGGATAAAGCTCAAAAATCTTCGAGAAGAGCACAGTAAAAGGTACAAGTTCGAGTTGGTGACATTCTTTAATGAAAAAAAGTGAAGCGACAGGGAGCGAAGAGGACAAGATTAAAGCATCAGAGGAGGGAAGAGGAAGATGTTCAGCGGATGGAAAGGCGTCGGAGAGCTTCACGTGCGGCCGAACGGGTCTGGGTTCCACGGTTGTTCAGCTGCGGCTCTTCAGGTTCAGCTGGCTGCGGAGCTTGGGCCGGGGCGGCCGACGTTCCGGCTTGACGGCCTCTTCTTCCACGGCCTCGGCCTCTGCCACGGTTGTCTCCCCCACGGTTTCCACCACGGTTTCCACCGCGGTTGCCACCGCGGTTGCCACCGCCACGGTTTCCACCGCGGTTGCCACCGCCACGGTTTCCAGCACGACGAGCCGGAGTTGGCGGGATAGCCTGAAAAAAGGTGATTTTCATTCCATCAGGGTGGTAAAATGCGGGTTTTTGAAGCATTTTCTCACGACTACTAGGAGACTCGAAATTTTTTTCTCTGCGCCCTTCTTGTCTCTCGGGGACCCTTCCATGTTTTCGTGCTATTTTCTTGTTTCTCTGACCTCTCCGGTGAGGGAAAAGAGAGACGCAGGCACTCGAGAAGTGTCAAGTCGCTGAGAACCGACTATAGACTACATGGGAGGTGTTGACAACAAGCATGATAAATTCCAATCTTAGGGGGTAGTACTGCCTTTTTTCGGGAGGATGTATTGACAGCCTTTTAAAAAAGATCTGTCCAAGTCTTTCTTCAAAGTGCCAGCCGAAAAAAGTCGTGATCAATCTCACCATGGGTTCAGCCTGAGTGAGCAAGACGGTGGCGGCGCGGAGGGAAGCCGCGAGTTGCTGGTTCTCGTTGCGAATGCCGATCGCGCGACGAGATCCACGCGTCGCCATCTGCCGACCTCTGTTCCGTCGCAGCGGATTGTCCAGAAGATGAGTTGGTCTTACTGCAAGGAAAATTAATGTTTAATCGCCTTCAGGAAAGACTTTATTTATTTTAAAATGAATGAAATGATGAAATGACTTCAAAATAGAGCTCCTTCAGCTTTGAGGCGATTAGCGAACTATCAGTGAGATCGGAAAGCTTTCATATATTCGTCATCTATTGTTTTGGTCAAGTTGAGCTGTGATATCATTTTTTGAAAAAACTGACAAATCCCACTCGTTCGTGGTCGCGACGTATGAGCAGAAGCTGCACGGCGGAAACCTGAAAATGTTCAAAATTAATTCATCGAATTTGGAGTCGAGTTCAACTCCTATGGCTTTACAAAAGGTTTTTTTATTTCCTAACCCATTTAGGTATCATTCTATGCGAGCATGCTAGTGGTCCCTACAGGTATCTTCAACTTTCAAATTAAGATAAATAATTAAAAGACCACTATAGGGTACCACTTAAATACTTAAAATCTTTAAGAAAGGTCAGACTCCCAACTCCTTTAGGGACCACTAGAATTTTTAGCCATCTAGGGAGCACTATTTTCTCACACATATTCCCTAACCCGTGTAGTGAGCAATCTGGCGTTTCAAATTATGATTTTTCTTTAAAACCCTCGTCTCTAGTGCAATCACTCGACGTTACTTGCAGGAAACAAATAATAATATTCTAAAGGCAATAATGCAAAAAGTTCAAACCGTTGGCAGCGAGTCGATTGAAGTGGCGATTCTCCATGTCGCTCAGGAAATTGCGGACGTCGCCCTCGTTGCGCGGCCCGTTGATGTGCAGCATCTCGAGATAGTTCTCCCAGCGCGACGGCAGCGGCGTGTCCGGGTGCCGGAACCATGGCACTAGAAGACCATTTTTCTTTTCCGACGTTTTTTGCGTAGAAAATTTGTTCCGATTTATTTTTCAATGACGTTTTTCTGGCTCTATGCGTTTCTGGTGTAGAGTCATATCAAATAGCTCAAAAATCTTGCGGGTCGCCCCGGGGCGGGCGCTTCAAATGGCGGGTCGACCCGGTGTGTCCCGCTCAGCGAATCGGTCATAAATGAGCAATTTCATGCTCATTTCTTTAAATTTTCACCTACTTTCCGTCATTCTGAATTTTTCGGGTCGACCCGGGGTGTCCCGCTCCGCAAATCGGTCACATAGTTAAAATAACCATTTTTCTCAGTTTTCACTCATTCTGGAATTTGCGGGTAGCCCCGGGCGGGACCGCTTCAAATCGCGGGGCATCCACCCGGGAGCCTTGCTACTATACGCCAAAAAAAAAAAACAAGGAAGGCGTAATTTTAAGCTATTTAGATCAAAGTACACTGCCCATTTCCGTCTACGTTTCCTTTTTCTCATCTTCAATAAACAAAAGAAGTAATGGAAAAACGAACTGGCGGCGACGGTGTCGCGCTGATCGGCGATGATTCGCGCCTGACGAGCCGCCTCGGCCTCGCGCTCGTTGAGAGTCTCCAGAGTGATCCCTTCACGGGTGCACTTTTCCTGTTTCAGGACGTCGATCCGTCCCTGGCGCTGTTTCTCGCGCACTTCAGTCATACTGAAAGACGATCGAGAATTACTTCTTTTTGTCAAAGTTACTAAACTTCTACTTTTCTTAAGGTTTTGAATATCAAGACTAAGTTTTGAAAATTCCTTTTATCACTATACATCCTCTCATGTTGGCAGGGTGTCTCAAAGGGTGTACCCGTATATGCTTTTTGAGGCGGGCTAAAACGGGAGAACAGCGGGTGAAAGAAGAAATAGGTGATTAAGCCTTGTTCCTTTCAAAAATCTGAGCTAGAAAATTCAAAAAATACTACCAGCTCTCCCGGGTCCAATTCGGGCACACCCGCTGAAAGCCCATGTCAACCTCATAACCAAGTAGAACTTTAAAAGTCCAATACTACTCCTCACTTTTTCAAGGCAGCTTTGAATTGATTATGGCGAACGAAGGGCTGGTCGTCCTGGTCGTCGTGATACTGCCACATGTCACGGATTCTAAAGTCATCGTCGTAACGCATCGGGAATGGATCGTCGATCGAAGAATCCGAGCCTGCAAAAAGAACTATTTAAGATTACTGGTATAGTTAATCTTTTGCGACTTTAAAGGCGAGATTGGAAAAATAGAAGCGTTGCGTACGCGACGCGGCTTTTCGACGGGAAACTCGAGGTTAAGGAGTTATTTTTTTTACAGATTCCCTTTCTTTTAATATTTTTCTTCTGCTCTTGGAAAAAACTCAGTTGAACGGATGCCCCCATAATAGTTCTTTAATGGCTACTGATCCGTCTAATAAAATGGCTTCTAGAACTTCCAGACCCTAAAGTGACCACTAAAATTTTTTCTAGTGCTTTTTTTTCCGTAACATCAGTCAGACCTCTAAAATGGCCACTAATTCGGCTACTATAGTGGTCACTGAAACTTCAAGACCCTAGAGTGACCACTGGAAATTTTTCTAGTACCTTTGACATCAAACAAGTATATTTTATTTGAGTGATTTACGAGAAAATTTTTAAGTGGCCACTTTAGGGTTTTGACTTTTTTTCAGTGGGGACTACAGTAGTCGGATCAGTAGCCACTGAAATGATAACTACTATAGTGACCACTACGACTCAAAATTGTATCTTCTATGGTGGTGGTGTTAGTGGCCATTTTAGTGTCCTCTCCAAGTATTCCTTGAGCAGTCTCTTAAGTGGCCACTTAAATCCTTTCTCAGTATACTATAAAAAAATGTCGCTGAATCCAAAAAAATGTTCTGCAACTTCAAAGGAAGGCTATGAAAAGCTCCGAAGGCGCTTCTATGAAGAATAACGAAACGGACCGCTGCTGGAAGTCTCGTCCTCGTCTTCGGGCGAGAGCAAGTCGTCGTCGTCTCCACCGGCGCTTAGGTTGATGCGGACGACCCGCGGGGTGATCCGGCCCAGGGCCGGCGTTCCCGCATCAATCTCCATGAACGCGCGATGTTCTTCTGCCATTTCGGCGTCGAGCCGCTCGTTGACCAGGCGATCTTCGCGGTCGATTGCGTCGAACTCGTCCTGGACGTCGCCGAGGAGTCCGCGGTCCGTCGTGCTGCTCGATGACGACTGCAAAAAGTTCAAGTCGACTTATTTTTTTTGATCATATATTCTTTTTATCACGTCTTTTGGGTAGAAACTTTCGTCTGTGTGAGAGTGTGAGAAAAATTATTTCTTATCAACATTTTGTTAAAAAAATGTATCGTGTTTTTTTGGTGAGGAATTTCCTGTTATTAAGTAATTCTCTTAAAAAAATTTCTTATTAATAATTGATTTTGATTGAAAATCTTCATCTTCTTATCATCATTCAGTCTTCTTAAGTCACTTTGGTCGAAAATTCATTAGTATCCACTCAAATTGTTCAAAAATGTCTTTCCATCATGTAATTTCGTTGAAAAATAGAAAATGTGATGTTACGTTTACGCAGCGTAAATTCAAAGGCGTAAATGAATTTATGTCCTATTCCTACACTTCCAGCCTTCAAAATTCACAAAGTATTGGGAAAATCAACTTTTGAAGTCTCAAATTCACTCTACTAAACGTTCAAGGTCTCAGGAAAATAGTTAAAAATCACACTTTCGTTTTTTTTTTGTACGGATTGTGTAAAAAGGAGATTTAAGAGTTATCTAACAAAAAATTCTCTTCCATTTTGGGGTTAAAAACTTGCCATTTTTGAGCCGAATTTCGAAAATATCATAAATTTTCAAACCACCAAAATGCCACTCTCTAGTGTATTTTACTTTAACCCTTCAACTCGAAAGAAAAAATTTCAACTTTTCAAAGCTCAAAATATAAAAATGTTTTATCCTAATTGTCATAATGATATCTTTGAGTTAACCAATCAACTTGGAAAAAAATAAAAAAACTCAACTTTTTTTCAAGCTTAAAAAAGAAAATTTTCTAGGGCATCCACTGAAAATTGTTTTTAATGTAGCTTTTCTTGCAAACTTCTTTCAAGAACCCAAAAAAAAAATCCCTCATTAGCTGTATAAAAACACAATTTTTCCATGATATCATTCTCGATTTTTCCCAAACGAACCTTTTTCGGCGGCTTACTCTTGCTCAAGAAATCCAACTCCATTCCGTCCAAATCAGCCATTTCCGACTCCTTTCTACGTTTCTCTGGAAACAATTTCAACTTCAGTATTATTATTGATTGAATCTGTTGTACCCGGAAACTTTTTGCAAGTATTGTTCGATAATCGACGAGAAGCTAGAATCGCGACAGATGTCCATAATCGGGCCAACGACACTGGAAAATGTGACTTTTTAAGCGAAAAATGATCAATTTTCGAAGTGAAATTACTTAGTTTTAATGTTAAAATTTTAAATTTTCGGTGAAAAAAATTGTAAATTTTCCCTGATCCCTCTTGTTCGAAAAATTTGAGAATTTTCAATAATAAAAGTACGAGTTTTTGACTGAAATAATCATATATTTCGATAGAGAACTATGAAATCAAATTGAATAAAAAAAATATCTGAATTCGTAAATTGTGAGTTTCATGAGCTTCATTTCGGTAAATTATGAACTTTTGATTGAATACCATTAAAATAATTTTTTTCTACCTTGGGACAGGTTCGGCTCGTCTTTTTCCACTGCAAAATGCATCCGGCGCAGAATTTATGGGTACATGGTGAGACGCTGAAAATAATTTTTTTGAGTTGAGAAGTTTCGCTTTAAGTACAAAGCTTCAAATAATTTTCAAAATCCGTGGAATTTCAGGTTGAAAGGTCTTCGAAATGAGATAAAAAATTCAAAAAACAAGAAAACTCAAAGAGGACCGATTGATTGACTAGACGAAAAATTCCCCAAGTTTATAAAAAATCATTTTTCCACGATTTTCAGCCCTTTTCATTGGTGCGATTTATAAGTTTCTTCTCGGACATTGGTAACGTGAAAGGGACGTTTCTGGGCGATGCTAGGGATCCCTTAAGTGGGCTGAAGCAACTAAAATAGTCACTAGAAATGTCCTGATACGTCCGGTTTCGCGTTACCAATGTCCGACAAAAATACGAATTTCATGTCTTTTTAAAAATGTAATATAGCCTATTCCGCGCCAGCTTGTCACGTTTTTCTTTCCACCAAAAAGACCGTATACCAAATTAGATCAAATTTCTGATTTTAAACGGAAAGAAACAAAGGTCTTGAAGTGAAGTTGGTCAAACTTGACCTGGCCTTTTGGCGGAAAGAAAAACGTGACAAGCTAGCGCGGAATGGCCTATAAGAGTCTTTTTTGGTATCAATTAAAAATGAATTAAAATCTTTCCAAAAGTTTAGAAATTCAATTCTAAATGACACTTGTAAAAAATCAAAAAAAGGGAAAATACATGAAGGCCATGTGTAACCGGAGTGTCGTGTAATTTTGATGAACTTGGATTCATTCTCATTATTCAGATTTTCTCAGCACCTCATGGCATTGTAGACGACGTCGAGGCAGATGCAGCATTTGAGGACGTCATCATCAATTAGAAAACTTCTTGTGAGGCTTGCCGACCTCCAACGGCGAGGCAGAATCAGCTCCCACGGTCTTACTATTGCCCTCCTGCAAAAAATTATGATTTCTTCAAGTGATATTTTTATGATCTCTTTTTCGGTTTAAGTATCACAACCAGAACGCCCTGATAATCGATAAATCATAAAAAATCAAAGCTTGACTTTACTTTACTCGAATTTCCTGAGCTCTTTTTTGAGTTTTCCAAGCCCTTTTAACTCCATCTTACCTTCTCCTCATCCGCCGAGCCCTCCTCCCCGAGTTATTCTAAATTAAAGCTAATACTACCTCCCTGAGGTCGAAACTCGTATTATTGTGGCCAATAGTACCTCCCTGAGGTTGAAAATAGGTTTTATTCATAATTTTTCATAATTATTATAGCCAATCCCTCCTCCCGAGCTGTACTTGCCCATCTATGTTTCTCCTTCAACTTTTTCTAGTTTTTGATAAACTTAATACAAAATTTACGTTGAAAACGTCAATTCTCGATAATTCCCTTCTTTTTTACAAAAATCCCTAGAGCTACCACTTGAGCTGTTTTTAGTCACACCTCAAGTGCACCTAAAAATGGTACGTTTCCAAAAAAATGATCGTATTTTTTTGAAATTTTTGAAACGCCATTTCCTTACAACCGATACTCATGCATCGATCTTAAATAATTTTAAAAATTTCTCAAGTTATATGGCAAAAATCACACTTTCTTAAAATCCTTACTCAAGTAACAATTTTCAACAATTTTCAAATTTTTCTCAAGTTTCATGGCAAAAATACTATCCCATGGCGTCTTCAATTTGATTCCGCAAAATTTAAAATAACAGTCAGAGAAAGAAAAAAAAACTAAATCTTGGAGAGTCAAAGAAAATCTTCACGAAAAATAACTTCGATTTTAGTACAAAAACTTGCCTCGTCAAAATTCTCCAAATCACCCTCCTTCATTTTTTTCCCTTTCGACATCCGGCGGGACGACAAGGCCTGAAAAATTCAAATTTAATCATTTTTGCTCATACAAAAAGGAAAAAATCGATAGAATTTCAAAAATTCACCGCCGCTTGTCGGGAAACCCGCTCGAGATCCGAAATGCGGATCGGCTGTTGCAACCCAGAATCCAGCTTGACCTGTAAATCACCAAACTTCATGAAAAAGTAAAGTTTTTAGGTGGAATAAAGACAAAAAAAAAGCGAAATCTCACGGAGAAGAAAAATATGGGAAGAGATATGAAACGGGAAAAAATTCAATATTTCTCGTATCAATAACTAGTTTGTGAGAAAAACATTTTTTTGTTCGGAAACAAAGAAAAAGTTTTTTTCTTTAGCTATATGGTTTCTATATTTCCGAAGCTGTCTATGAAGGCAGAAAAAAGAAATACTGAAAAAGAATTTTTTTATTTTTTTCAACAATAATTATCTAATATAATGAACACGGCGTTATGCGTAGTGGAAGAAAATGTAAAAATTTTGAAAATGCGGAGCGGCTTTGAGACGTTGCTCCACCTAGAGTTACGGTAGACAGCTATGCGCGCGAACATTTGAATTTCTTGTTGCTCAAGTGCTTCACGTGATTTTTATGTTTATTTCCGTTGTATCGTTATCTGTTTGGTTCTGATATACGGTAATTATTTTTTTCATTGCGACAGCAAAATGCGAAGGAATTTTTTTGGTTTTAAATTTTCAAAATTAACTGCTCGGTTTTGACAAAATTTCCTTCTAAAGCAAAAAATTCTTTTCAGCAACATTTTAAGTGTCAAATTAAATTTTTGTATTTGAATCAATCAATCTCTTCATTCTCGCAACATCAGAATGGTATGGCGATGTTGCAAGGGATAAAAAAATACCACTAGGCGAATGAACTAAACCAAACCTGTAAAAGAATTTTTTTAATTTTTAATGAGTGGGGAAAGACACGTAGAACCAAAATAAGTCATTTTCGGCAAAAAAATTCCACTGAAAAAAGTATTTTAACTAATTTTGAGGGTGAAAAAGGAATAAAAAGTGTTCAAAAAAAGTAAGAAGAACATTCATCCAAATTTTTTTTGTCAACTAGAAAAGGAATTGTGAAAGGATCAATTTTTTCACGTCTATATTTTTGAAAAAATGCTGTTTTTCGAAGAAAAAAATTATTTTCGAATTTAATGAGTATGCGAGTTAGCGTCGTTCTGTGTATGCACCAAAGACGTCAAATATTACGGAAACTGTGGGAGGGGCGTCGTCAAAAGAACGCCGTGAAACGTGAACGAACTGAAAAATAAAATTTTTTTTTGAAAATACACGTTTTTCTTTCATTTAATAAGTTCTATACACATTCGCAGCTATCTAGAAAAAAACAAAAAAATACTCAAAAATTATTAAAAAAATTTCTTCTTATTACACTAATTTTTTTAACCACGTCAGAAGCCTCAATAATAATATTTCAAATCAGAGTTGGACACCATATAAAAAAACCTATTTTCATTAAAAACAACATTTTTTTCCGCAAACCTACAAATCGAAAAATCTTAATTCCAAAATGAAAAACAAGACACGCAATGATGATTCAATAAAATTTCAATTTTGTTTATATTTTCTTGGATTCCTAAGTGCAAGGATGGGAAGAAAAAATTGCTGAATCACCAATTTTCTGATCGATCTCCGAAAATAATTGAGAATATTTCGCAACAAAGGCGAAATGCCAAACATGCGTCAAAAATCGATCTAAAGTTGGAATATAGTTTAAAAAAATAAATTCTGAATTAATTAAAAAGTAATTTCAAGCTCTTGGAAAGCCTAGAGAAAAAAATCGTTAATTTCCAGCTGAAAAAGCAACTTTTTTTCAAATTAAACTGCTCCAAAAACTAATTTTGAAAAAAATATCTTCGCCCATATTTTCGATAAAATTGTTTTGAAACCTAACATCTATCAAGGATTAAAAATTTGTCAAACTATTTTTTTAAAAACTTCTTGGCGACTTCCCATAAGATTCATCTATTGGGAAGATTGACCAGAGCTAGAAAAAAAAAACCTCAAACAAAATTAACCGGATGGCTTTTGTGTTTCCAAAAATACTTGAACATTTTGCGAAATTTCTCCAATCGGAAACTTTGAAGGAATTTGTTCTTCGAAATGATCGGAAACACAATACTTGTAAAGAAAACCAAAGTTTGCATTAAAATACACAGAAAAACACTGGAAATATCGATTCCACTCGCCTCCTCGTTTCTGAGAAACATGTGACGACTATAAAAAGCGTGGAATTAAGAAGAAATTGATAGCTTTTCTACTTTTATTTTCTGCTACAAATATAGAAGGAAGAGCATTTCTAAACTCTTTCCTTCACAAAAATAGGTTTTTCAACGTGAAACTACATATATCAATTGAACTGCTGGACTTTTGGAATTTAGCAAATTTATCGCATCAAAATTAAAGTAAGAAAAAAGCCTCTGAATTGAGGGAAAATATCAAAAACAAATCATCTCAACAAACCGAACAGTGTCAAAACGCGACGAAATGAGCAAAATGCCTAAAAAGCGAAATGGGAGGCATTTTTCCTCACAAACCCTTAAGAGGCCGCTCAAGAGTGTTTTTTATGTCCGCGCTGGGGCGAAATTGCACGGAACGATGCGTCTCCCGCAGAGTTTTACCGCAAAATGCGTTTCGCAGAGATCGATATCAATTATAATTGAATTACTTCTTTTTATCCCGAAAAATCTGAGTTGAGTGAGAAACAGTGATGTTTCATTCATTGAAAAGATGAAAATTGTTTGAGGAATGAATTTTTGCTCAAAAACAGTGAACTTCCATTTTTTTTAACGCCTTTTTTTTGTTCTTCTCGATTAGCGATTCATTATGAAGAAGGTTTCCAACAAAATTAGCAGAAAAAAAAAGTTAAGAGCTATCGAAAATTCCATCAAAATGATAAAAAAAAGCTCTAAAAACGAATTTCGTCTTTTTCTTTGGAAATTTTAGAGTCAACCGCAATAAGTTTCGAAAAAAGCCGTTATCTCGAGTCGCAACCTTGCAAATGACCCGAAAAGGGGACCGAAAGTGTAAACTTGGAAACAAAAAAACCACGAAAAAAAATAAAAAGGTCATTGGACAAAGATATCCATGCAAGGTCAAAGAAGTCGCGCGGCCGTTTGACCAACAAAAAAAATGAAATATTTCTCTAGATCTTTGAAAAAGTATCGAAACTACCTTATTTGCTTTAAAAACTATCCTGGAAGGGGATAAATGCCTCTAATGGAAAAAAAAATCGATTTTTTACAGGGTCACAAAAATACGTCTTTTAAATAGAATAGCTTGAACTCTAATTCTTCTACACAGAGAATAAACTGAAGTTACACGTATTTTGAAGCCGAATTTTAAGAAAAAAAAACATGTTCAAAGACCTTTCTCACGTTTTTAAAGGCGTAATAACCTTGTTTAGCCCGAAATAATTCTAAAAAAGTTCCATCAAATCCGTCTATGCTCCTTTAAACTTCTCATAAAGAAATTGCGATCATTAAACGAAGCAAGAAATACAAAACACTAATAAAGAGAACAGTAAAAAGTTGGAATAGACACTATCATTAGAGGATACCCATCTCGCCACACTTTGGCATTCATTACATTAGTTGCGCAACGACAGAAGTCAGACGTTGCGCCACATGGGATGGTAGCAGAACAAGATATTCAGGTTACTGTCTCACAATAAGAAAAAAAAAGCATTAAAATTATGCTATCTTATTTTAAAAAAAATCTACGTCAAACTTTTCAAACGAGCGACGTCTTGATTAACCTTGAAATAAACAGTAAATAAGACACGTATCTCAAAACTTTCGTCTGTACTCTTTTAAACCTTAATAATAAAAAAACTCGAACATATTATAACTCTTCGAAAAAAACTAAAAGTGTCAAAAAAAGAGAAATGATAAAAAAACTGCCGTGAAGTCTGACGCAGTCGGTGTGATACACCGCGGAGCGCGTATAAAATTCTACAGTAACCCATTAATTCTTTTCTTAAAAGCACCGTTTTCTAAAACAAAAAACTGAATCAATCTGAAGCTTTTAAAACTTTTCGATGAAATAACCATGAACGAAACTCAACTGGAAATTAGATAAGTTATAGTTTTTTCACCTAGCTTCGGAAACACAACCTGCTGGAAGCTCTTCAAAACACAAAAATGGCGAAAGTATTGAACGACGTTGATTTTCAACGATAAATGACGAAAATGAACAATGAGACGTGGAAAGTATATTTTCTACTAGACAATGAAAAATAATTATACACGAAGAAAATTGATATCACAACGGAAAAAAAAAACAAGTATTGCAGTAATAAATACACATTTTTGGCCTGTATAAAGCAAAACATGATAAAACCCATCAAATATCTTCACAGGAAAACGATCCCAATGGAATGATTTGGAATAAAGCTGTTAGGAAGTGAATAAATGAGCGACATTCAAGCAATAACAATAGACAAAATAGGCTACATCTTGTTACAAAATATACACGAAAAAAGTTATTTTCATTCGACAAGTCCTTGGGAGAGCATCACTCCGCTGCTGATCAGGTCGTTGAGGAGCTTCAGGACCTTCAGAATCTTTATTTTTCATCCGTTTTTCTTGGGGATCGAACCTTTTCTCTTCTTTGCGACGACCAGCCTTTCCTTCTCCGTTCGACACTCAGTTCATATCTTGTTTCGCTTTCATCGCAAAAGAAGAATTCTGCAGTATTTTATTTTTATTCGAAGCAAGTAATGAGAGTTTATATATGTTTTAATCAAAGCTAACTCCACGTGATTCCGAAAAATTCAAAAAAAAAGCCGTTGGAGAGTGAAAAAAAGATGTCTCAATGTTTTCGAAAAAGATTTCTCAATTTTTTTCAGTGATAATTTGTCAAACATAAAACCCGAGAAAAAAATAACATTTGAAAAGTCTTAAAAATTCAAGAACAAAAAAACCTTTCGTTTTGCTTCATTTTTCTTCACAAAAAAAGGTTGCTACAATATTCCAAAAAAACCTTTTTGTAAAATAAAAAAATCTTAAACGAAAAAGGTACTTTTGAAAAAAAGCTTACAATTTAGAAAAATTTCCTAAAAACTAGGAAAAAAATTTTTTTTTCCTTTTTTTAAATTCATTAACCAACAGTTTTTTTCGAACTCCCTACATCAATCTCTCAAAAAAACCCATATTTATACTGAAAAAGCCCAAAAACCTTCGATTAATCGACATTTTTCCACTGGGAAACAGTTCGAAAATTTAAAATCTTCCAATTTTCTCAGAATTTTGAATTGAGCACTTTTTTCCGAATCTAGCTTTTCAAACGCTGTAGAAGATCTAGCTATCTGTGAAAATTACAAAGCTTAGAAAAAATCAAGCTTTTTTGTGTTTTTTAAATTATTCCTACATCAACCTCACATAAACCCACTAGAAATGGGAACATTTCCGCCGGGAATCAGTTTAAAAGTCTTGCTGGCAATGAAGTGACGGTCATCGACGGAGATGGTATTCCTGTTTTGGGGCGGGATTACTTTGAACTTTATATCGCAGAGATGCGCACGGACGACCTTCTCATAGTATTCTCCGGCTTGGCAATGATCCCTGGAAAATTTGTGGAAAAGTCAATCGATTTTTTAATGAAGCTTAATTTTCCAAGTTCTTTCGATCTTTATCAAGGTTGTAACGGTTTGAAAGGACGTGAATCCTCATAAAAATGACCAATTTTGAAGTTATAAAACCTATTTTGGGCCATATTTAATTTCTCGAAATTCGAAAACTAACCACAATCGAGAAATCTACACACTTTGAAGTTCAAAGTTTGAACAATTTTTGAACTATATAAAAGGTTCAAAATTTCTAGAAAAAAATGATTGCTATAAAAAAACGGCCGACTTTCCAAGTTACAAGTTTCAGAATACTCAACAGCTTCCTAACGTCCCTATTGGAAGAAACAAAAGAAGTCAAAAAGTCGTGTTTTGCGTCTTGTTTGCATGAAAAACAAAAAAAATTTTTATATTCTTTCTATTTCTTAAATAGAACGTCCTACTTTTTCTATCAGTTTTTATGATGTGTAGTTGAAACGTACATTAAAAAGGTTTGCCAAAAAAACCTTTTGAAATATATAAACAAATTCTTAAAACTGAATCCAATAAAAATTTTCTCTAGTTTTTTTTTCAACTTCATTTTCAGATCCAGACATTTTTTTGGATTTCTTTTCCACTTTTGTTTCAATAATTCTTCTAGAAATCTATAATCTTTCTTTTTTCTTAAAGGGAAACCTTGAAACAACGACCACTTTTTTTCTAATTCCAAGAGTTTCTGTTTATTTTAAAGCATGATGGGATGGTGAAAAAAACGACTAAAAATGTAAACTCAGTTAAAAATTTCCGGCAGAGTTGACAAAGGTAAAGAGATTTTCTTTAAAGTTCAAAATTTTTAAATGAGAAACTGAGCAATAGTGATTATGATAAAACGTCCTGAAAATCTAGGTAAAAAATGATTTCAAAGTAAATTCCTAAAAAAAAAAGCGATATAACGCTAAAAACGGCAGCAAAATTAGCAGAATGAACGCTAAAAAAACAAAAAAAAAATTGGCTGAAAAATTAATTTTTTTGAAACTTTTTTTGAAAAAAATCTTCTATTTTACAACTTTCACAAAGTTCATTCTTTGGAAATACCTATATTTATCAGCGGAAATGACGATTCCATTGGTCCAATCGGCTATGACGAGCCCCATGACGTCGTCCAAATTCATTGCGGGAACGGTTCGGAATAAACCTTCTTCTTTCAGTTCCTGGAATCGGTATTCATCCTTAGGAAAAAAATCGGAATAATTTGAAATAACTTAATAAAGTGAAAATAATCCCTTTTATTTTGATTACTGGTCATCTGCTCAAAATTTTAAAAAAAGCAAACAGGAAATTTTATTCGGAGCAGATTAAGTTTCATAAAAATACACATCATTGATTCGAATTATTTTTTTCAAAAAGTTCGACTCAATGTAACTTTTTCCCATTTTAACGTTTAAATCGAACTTTTCGAAAATCATTAGAAAGTCAGAGACAACGATAATATCTAGAAACATAAAATAGTAAATCTTCGTAATAAATCAATCAATTTTTGAGGTAAGGCCTCAAAAAATTGAACCAGAATTTCAGAAAACTTGAAAACCACAAGCATCTTTATGCGAATAAAAGCGGATTTGAAGGCTTTCAAAGCCATTTTTTCAATTTCCAATCACTTTGTCCGAAGGAACTGCTATATATCTGAGAATCCAAATATTAAAAAAAAAATGAATCCAACCGACAATCCCAACTTGAAGTTGGTGGTTTCGTCTTTGAGGTATTTGTGGGAAGAAACGGCGATAACTTCGAAATCGTTGACGACGAAATAGCGCATCACGGACAACAAGGCGAGAACGTCCGGTCGTGATCCCTCTTGACGCCCTTCAGACAAAACAATTATTTTTTTTTCCAAGCGAAGATACATATCCCGTTATCTACTGACAAGGAAGGTCATTTTACTTTGGGATTTCCTGAAAATAGGCCAGAACGCTCCTTAGGGTACCAGAAAAGGTTCTGAAAGTCTTGATCTGATAATCTATCCATTTTATGAAAAAAGGCATCAAAACGTCAAAGAAATTCAAAATCCGTTAAAATAGACCATTTTGAGGCTTGGAGCCCTTGTTTCTCGAAAAATAGTAAGTTTTGCAGGTTGAGACTTTCAGATTCTTCTTCTGGTACATCAAGGAGCGTTCTAGTCAATTTTTTAGAAATTCCCAATCGAAAACTAAAATGACCTCCCTTTTTAGGAATTATTCCGTGTTGAAAGTGATTCCGCGAAATTTAAAATAGCTTTTCAGAGAAGGGCAAAAATAACTGAATTTAAAAATTCAGAGGATAATTTTTTTCGAACTTTGCAGGGTATTACTTTGAACCAAAAAAGTTGGAAGAATCCTGGATTTACAGGCTTTTTTTAAAGAAAATCAAAAATTTGAATTTTAAGACAATTCAAAAAGTTTGAACTTGTGAGCGAATTTCAAACAAAAACACGCTATTTTTTTATTGAATCTTAAGAAATTTGAAAACAGCTCGAAGCAATTTAAAAACTCAAGAAAGAATATATTGATCCCAAACGTAAAAAATAGCTTCGTTGCTTTCCTTTCCGTTGAAAAAAGTTGAATAAAAAATGCCTGACCGCTCAAATTTTATACAAGTTTGAATAAAATGTAGAAAAACCTTGATTGTGAGCACCATCTGCGCCGCCATACATCAGATTCGCCGCATCCAAAATGATAAGCCGTCGAACTTGTCCCTTTTTGGGAACGAACTGAAAAAGGAAAATTATGCATTCATTATTCGTTTTTCTTCTAGAAAACCCTCAAATCTCGATCTTTCAGTTCTTCGAAGCCTTTTTCTAACGGTGGCAAGTCATTCCAAGTGGGGCTAGTCATCAAAAGAGCCTGAAAGAATTATTGAATTATGTCTCATTCAATAAAGAAAGGTTCGAGAAGTATTAAAATCAAGAATCAGATGAATTTTTTGAAAATTTACTCATAAACTTTAAAAAGCGCAAAATTCTTGCCTAAAACTGTAAAAACGGCTGTCTTGAAAATACCATCATTGTTGGTGCCGAAACACAAAGTTTCAGATAGATTCAAAGCGAATTATAGAAAAAAGGAAAAGTGAATATCGATTCGAAACTGCAAAAGAAAACTACGACGGACAATAAAGATAAGAATCGAGGAAGATGTGGATCCATTCACTCGATCAATAGAAACCACAACGTCGGAACTATAAAAAAAGCCAAACAACTGTTGCGAAACGTCACACCCTTTATAAAAAAATCATCCTAACCAGAATTTTTATCATTTCCGGTAGTATTATGGCCGATACGCTTAAATCTTGATAAACCATCACACGCAATTCAAAAATAAAAATTTGCGAACCACAAATTAGTTTTAAAAAGATCCTAATAAAACTTACATTTGAAAATTGACCCGACTTTTCGGCGCAAAAATATATCCTGTATCCCCAAATTGAACTTGAAGGATGAAAAAATGCTTCTGAAATTAAAAAAAAGTTAATGTTCATTGGAAAAAAAAGGAACATGCTTAAAAACGAAAAATCGTGTTAATCGGAGCGCCAAAGTTGCTCCAAAACCGTACTATTTTTTTTGTTTTGAAGCAATTTTTTTCTGTTTCGAAGAAATTTCTGTTTCGTCTCATGAACACGCCATATGAGAAAACTTTCGTAAAGTCTAACGCATTCGGTGCATTAACTATGCACGTTGCGTACAAACAATCTACAGTAACCTCTTTCATCTCTTAATTCTTCAAAATACATAATTCTCGATAACATACCTGTGTTGCTCTTTCCAGCAATTGAAACCAATAAATTTTCCGACAAGAAAGAATTAATTTATTCTTCATACTTATAAATTAAACTGTAATGAAAAATTAACCAATCAAATCGCAATCACAACAATGTTATCACCCATAAAACATGTATTGGTTTAAAAAAAATCAATTATATTAAAAACTAATACAAAAAAATATGAATAGGATACAGAAGGAGATCGATAAAATTTGCAAAAAGTATAAAATTGGAACAAAAATTAAGATCTTGTATGGCAAAATAGCACAAATGTTGAAGTTAAAACTGAAAATCGATGAGAAATAAGTGATAATCGAGCAGAGCGTGGAAAATAGAAGATCTTGTAATATTTTGAGCAAAAGCGATCAACTGAGGAGGACAGAATGAAAGAAATAAAAACTGGGTCGGAAAATATCACAATAGAATGAAAAATTGAAAATTATTTTTGCTGCGGAATAGGATTAGTTTTTTTAGATAATGAGTGAAGTCAAAGTTCCGTTTTTTTCGTGATTAAAATTGAACAAAGTTGAGGGCTTTGAAGTTGGATTTATGGTGAAATATGACTAATAAGTTGGAGAAAAATGTGAGGAAAATGGGCTTTTTTTCTAATTAGGAGCACCTAAAAAAATCAATTTTTCTTTTATTAATTTGTTCCGAAGACCTCAAAATTTTTTTGATTTTTTTCTTCAGAAAGCCCAGAATCTTTCTTATGAGAATAATAACGAGTTTAGGACTTTTTGCGGTTCAGTAAAGATATTAATAAGGCGAAAATCTAGATTCTACATGATAAAAAATAATTTTTGGGCCCTTTTTGCAGTTTTCCAAATGACCATAGTTGTTATAGGAAAGGCTCGTAAAGCTCGAAATAAGCTTTCAAAAAGTTTAAAGCATGGTTAGATCGAAGTTGGCTATTAGACAAAAAATTCATTCACTCAAAAAAGCTTCATAAAGCTACTTTTCCACTTCTAGATATCAGAAATGGATGATTAAACTCTCAAGTTGACGTCTTCTCTGTTCTCGACTTCCTCCTCCTCCTCCTCGTCCGTGAACAAGGAGTTGTCCTCGGCGTCGAGAAGACGTTCGGCCGACTCCTCGGCCTGGTTGAGCAGCGAGTAGCGGAGGGCGCCAATGGAGCCGACGCCTCCAGAAGAAGTCGCCTGGGCACGTCTTCGGGCCATCGCCGCCGTCCAACGCTCGAAGCGAACGCCGTCGCCGAGGCTGCAAATCACTTCCAGCGACGTCAATGAGGTTGGAATCAGGTGGGAAAAGGAGAAAGTTTGAACTGATTAGAGCTGTAGGCGTAAAATTGACAAGCTTAAAAATTAAATTAGGAAGAACAACAGCCAAAAATCACTCTAAGGACAATAAACCCGTATATTTTCAATTAAAACAAATCCTTTCTCCATGAATTATAAACTTATTTAGTTCTCAACTCCTATTGAGCTTTTCAGAAACTTTAAAAAATAAATTTTAGAAAAATTGTTTACCCTACTTTTTCCCCAGAAGCTTAACATGTTCAAACTTTTAAAACCAATAAAATCGCTCCAAAACCATTCAAAAAAAATTTCCGCTTCGAAAAAATGAAAAGAATATATAAAAATCCCTCTTATTTAAAATTATCTCTATCCTTTCCCCTCACTTCAGCTCCAAAACCTCAATTTTCTCTCAAAGAATCCAAAACTCGTCAAATATTTGCAAATAAATGACTCGCTGTCATCAAAGTGTGCTCTAGGGCCATTTTCTCCCTGGAGCGCACTTTCCAAGACTACTCTAATCTAATCCATTCCGAGCAAAATGAAAAAAAAAGAAACACAAAAAAGGAAGCGTAACATATATGAATATATTAGGAAGGTCGATAAATAGGATCAGAGGATGTCGATGGGAATGTGCTCGACAGTCGACCGTCGTCCGCCGCCGTTCTCGACGGTGACGTCACTGGGAGGCGAGGCGGCTGACGTCATCGACGTGGAGCCGTTGGTTGGCCGGGCCTCGTCGGGCGGTTTGTAGGCGCCGTTGCGACGTCCGAACCCGCTGATCCGCTCGAAGGCCAATTCGAAGTCGACGCCCGACCCGCGGCTGCAAAACCACAGGCCACAGTCAAGGTGTGAAATGAAAAGGTATTTTCTATTCTAGCACATTCTCTTTGGCTCAATTCACTTTCTACGCGTTACAGTCGTAAGATCATCGGTAAATTTACTCGAAAATTACTTTCATTTCAATCATTCAATTTTTTACGCTGATTTTTCGGCTTCAGAAGCGTTTCTCGTTCCATCTGCACATTCCTATCATAAATTCAAGATTCTTGAAATGGAATATACTAAACGTTCGAAAATTATACAAAGCTTCAGAAAAAAAAGCTTTTACGGTTCAATTTGTAATAGTCACAGAGAAACCTTCAAAAAACAGGGTCAACTGAAGCCAAACTGACTTTTTTGCTTTAAATTAGTTCATCTAACCATTGCTGTCAATACTCGGAAGATCATAAAAGTCCAGAGAAAAACGCGAAAAAAAGTTTCAGAATTTTATCGGAGAAAGAAAACTGAAAACAATTTTAAAAACTTTGAACCTGGAATACTTATCATTTTTATAAGAGGTGCAGTCTCTTTATTTATTTTGATCCCCTTTTCTTTGGAATTTAATAGGAAACTATTTTATTCAATTCGATTTATCAATCCTTTGAAACGTATATTAACTTGGACGTTTCTTTTTCTTGCTAATTCGGATTTTTGAGCTTTAAAATCCTGCAAAATATTCAAAAACTTTCGGAATCCAAGCAATATTTACAAAAAAACAGAAGGTTCCAGAGAGAAACAGCTATGGAACTTTACTCAAAAAAATTATGATGTTTCTGAAAAAAAGCAAAAAGAATAAAATTTGGCGGTATGAAAAAACACCAGCGAAAATTCAAACGGCGACTTTTTCCAATTTTTTTTCATATCGCTAGGGAACTTTCCGACGGCCACCTTTCCGACGAAATTTTTTTCCGACTTTTTTTTCCCTTATGTTTTTTTCGGTTTAATAAAACATCTTTTTAACATTTTTTTCCTATTTCTTTGTGTTTTAATTATGAACTAACTACCTACTTTATATAGGAAGATTCAAAACGAAGAGTTTATCGAGAAAAAAAGTCGGAAAAAGATTCGTCGGAAAGTTCCCTAGCGATATGAAAAAATCGGAAAAGTCGCCGTTTGAATTTTCGCTGGTCTTTTTTTCATACCACCTAAAATTTCGAGTTTTGCACTTTTTAACTTTTGAAAAAGCTCGACGAATTTCATACTCTAAAAACTCTGGGAATCCAGCCCGACAATATTTAAGAGATCAGAAAGTTTTCAAAGAGAAAAAGCTTTCAAATTTTACGCAAAAATACAGGATTTTTCCTGAAAAAAATTTTTCAACTTTCATTTTATCAAAAAAACTCATTTATCAAAATCCCCTATTTAAAAAGTTTTTAGAACACTTGCGGAAAATTTTTAAAAAATTAGTTTCGATTCTAGTTTAAAAATATCAAAAGCCCCTTTTTTTCGAACGCTTGAAAAATTTAAAAATTTGAATTATAAAGCACATTAAAATAAACTTTACCTCGAAAAAATAATCCCTATAAAAAATCGAAAAATCATTTCCATGCACTCAAATACATTGAAAAGACAGAAACACGCAGAAACACAAAAACTGGACGAAAAAAGCAAAAAAGCATGCGAATTTCAAATCTTTCAATCTTGCAACAATCATAAATCACAAATATTTAAAAAACAATCAGAACATGTTTGGGACAGAAAAACACGTTTTAAGAGTACAATTTGACACGAAAAAAACTGAAAAAAATTCAGATGTGAAGAGAAGCGATAAGAGTGGAACAAAAATGGAGAAGACATTTTTGAATCAGTTTTTTTATGGAAATCATGAATTTATACCGTGTATTTTTTTGAACAAAAAAACCATAGGAAATTTTAAAAACTTTGAAAAAAACGAAAAAAATATCAAAGAAATTTGGTTTTTTTTTAAAAAGAAAAAGGTAGAATATTTCGTTGACCAACCTAGTATAGATGGGAAGGAGCCAAAGCGCCTTTTTCGAGCCGAAAATCTCGCGATAATTCGCCTTGATTCCGTGATTGAAGGCGTTTTTCTCGAATCTTCCTTCGATCAACGGGGCTCGGAACGATTCTGGAAGGAAGGACATGTACAAAATTATCAATGAATCCGGTTATATTTCAAAAATTCTTTCAGAAACTGGCGAATTCAACAGTTTCAACGGTAAATCTGTTCCTTTCCTCAAATTTGAAGGCATTGAAGCACTAAAAAAATTTTTTAAAAATGGAATACTTCTACAACACGTCAAATTTGACGTTTTTTTATTTATTTTGATCCCTTTTCTTTGGAATTTAATGAGAAACTATCTTTTTTTCAAATCTATTTATTAAAAAACTTATATTAACTTGGACGTTTTTTTCTTGCTAATTCGAATTTTAAGCTTTAAAATTCTACAGAATTTAGAACCGTTTCGCAAATTTTAAGATCATTTTCTTCCTATTTTATTTTTGCTGTTTTTCGTTTCAACTCAAAAACTGATTTTTAAAAAAATTAATATTTTACTCAAAATTTGCCAAATTTCATATCGTTAAAGCCGTGATTCTCCCCATTTTTTTTTTGGGAATAAAATGAAAAATGCTGACCAACGGTAGACCGATTCCTGGCCGTCAAGTACAGATGATAGAAAAATAAGGCGGCCAGGGATATCGAGAACATTCCCGAGACGAAGACCAGGAACAACAGGTGGAATCTGCCCGGCTGAACCAAGTATATCATTTTATTCAGACAGAGATAACGAACAAGTGAATAATTAACATCGGGGAAGTGCTATAAAAATCGATTGATAAAAGTTAGAGCCATGCAAAAAAAGAGATCAAAGCAAAGCACAAAATAATTCACAAAAAAACAAAGTCACCGTGCAAACTTTTAATTGGAAAAAAATTTCTGATCACTTGTCGAAAAAAATATGAATTTTGTGCAGAATAAATTTTAATAAAAAAACTGATAAATATTGATTTCTGGAAAAAAACAAAAATAAAACAAAACTCTTTTCAAAGTGAGCTAACTTGGAAAAATTTTTTTTTGATTTTTGAACTTTTAAAAAAATGTCTTCTCATAAACTGGAGAAAAAAAGAGCCTGATTTACAAAAAAATTTCGAAAAAGATCGACTTTGTAAAAATTTCAACTTTTTATCGTATTTTTTTCATTTCTGTTCTTAACAGGATCTAATTTTTTTGATTTTTTTTTTTTTACAGAACCTTTTTTTCTTTCCATTCACCTAGACAACATTTTACTGATCTACCAACAGCTTTCCAAAAATAATGGAAAATCACAAAAACTCTTGTTTGAAAACGGAAAAAAACCAGGGAAATTTCACTTTTTCAAAGAAAAATAATATTGGATTTACTTATTTTTAAGCAACTTTTATCATCTTTCAAGCCTCCGAAAGCTGTTGATTGATACAAAAACGGTGAAAACCCGATATTATGGACTGTATCGCCGCAAAAGTAACAATCTGCCGCGAGCCATATCGCTGCGACATCGCAAACTTCTCGCGCGATATCGCTCTCTAAGAAATTCCTTCAAAAATCTTTTTTCTTTAACTTATTGATCGCATGAAAAAAGATGCAAACAGAGCAAAAAATATTTGTTTGAAAAATAAATTCATGAGAAGGAGCGATATAGCAGGAAGCCTTTGACGATGTCGCAGCAAGAGGCCTTGGCTACATCGCGCGCGATAGCCACTAATATTTGGGTGAAAGACAAAGAAAAGCAGGACAAGTGCAAACCGTTGTGAGGGACAAGGGACTTTGGAGCCAATCAAACGGATCAAACGGCGGACGAGTCACAGTGCTGTTTCTCTTAACCTTAAGCGAATGTCCGGTGAACTCCGACCGCCAAAAATCGATGAAATACGGTAGGTCTGTGAAGAAGACGAAAAGGCAGAATGCGAACCCGTAGCTGAAAATGGCTATTCTTGTCAGCTTCTGAAGGTTTTCATCTAGTCAAAATATCGTAACTTTTGATCATATAGGCGCAAAAAGTGGAGGTCTCGAAGCGAAGCGCGTAAAAAAGCGATGTATACGGTGATTTTTCCTACCATATATGCGGAAAAATATTCATTTTTCTCGTATTTCTTTCTAAATTTTTAATGATCCTGCTGAAAAATCAATTAAAATACATAATTCATGATCAGAATTCGTGGCTAGAACGTTTAAAAAAAGATCCTTTGACATAAAAATGCAACAAAAGAACGGCTATTCTTCTTGAGACCTTTATGAAATTTCGTCTATGTCCCTTTAAAAAAACTGCCGGAAAAAGATTTTTAGGCATTGAAACTACTTTTTGAGTGTACGAAATCAATAAATGAAAAAAACGTTGAAATAAACAAACTGAAGCTGACTTTTTCCATATAATAATAAATCCATATGCTTTTTATGCGAAACAATAAAAAACAATTATCTTTTTTTAAATTTTCATGTTCAAGCAGAAACAGAAATCAAATGGACTAGAAAAATAACTTCCCAACATTTTTTTTTTCTACGATCAAAAAGCTTCAAATTCTCCTCTTTTCAACCTCAAAATAAAACAGAAAAAAACCGACCCCAAAAACAAGACGAAAAACTTGTAATTCCTAAAATTGACGCAGTTGTTCACCCAAGGACAGTGGTGGTCGAACTTTCTGGAAAAAACGAATAAAAATTGGCCTATTCATAGAAAAAAACTCACAAAAATACATTCTCCACAGATCGAACAATGATGTGACCGATCCGGCTTTATGCATTTACATTTCTCACAAAATCGAACTCCTGTAAGAGTTTATAATGATAGATATTTCGTGTTTGAAATCAAATCTTTTAGCCTAAAATCTCAAAAATTATATATTTTTTCTAGATCCTGTCAACAATTAAAAACCTTTTTCTCTCTCTAAATCCGAAAATAAACATCAAATTTTTCCTAAAAAAATATGAAACTTTTCGAGTTTTTTTCAGAAAAAGGATTTAAAAAAACGTGCTCTTTTTTTCTTATCGAAATATCGATAAAAACAATCATTTTTTTCAATATTAACTGAAAAAAATTTTTGTCTGATATTTCAAAAAAGTAAACCTTTTTTTACGTTGGAAAAAAACTAAAAAAATCCTGAAAGTTTATTTTTTTCTAAATGAAAAACCCTAGCCCATCTCTATTTATTAAATTTTCATTACAACACCCTAAAAATATGGCTTTTAAAAAAGAATCACGAAAATTACCTGTTCTCATCGAAAAACTTGTAAAAAAACCTTTTCTAACCTCAAAAAGACCGAGATATTCTCAGAACTCAAGAGTTTTTGGATTCTGTAAAAAACAACTAAAATCTCATAAAAGGAATTGAAAAAATTCACTGTTTCTTATCGAAAAACTCAATAAATAACACCTTTTATAGGATTTCGAGAAACATTTACCTCCGTCGTATCCTTTAGTCCTCAACGGCAACTTCCTCATGGTCGCATATCTTTGTAGAACGACTTGAAGTCTTCTTTCATCGTCCTTGCAAGCCATCACTTCTTCCAGAGCTTCTCCTTCGAATCGGAACTCGAAGAAAACTCGATGAAAGACATTTTTAAATAATAAATTTGCTGTTTCGGGATGAAATTCGAAAAAAAACTTTATAAAAACTTAATTTTTTTGAGCCTAAAGAATAAATTTTTCGCTATCCGGACGGCACTGAGTGAAAAAAACTTCAAAAAAGCTTTACTTTTCGTTTTTCAAAAAAACTTTTTCATTTAGAAATATTCAAATTTTCAAAACCAACGAAACCAGTTTATAACAAAATCTATTCCACTTTTGAAGATTCAAACACTGTTCCATCAAAACGGTAAAGAATAAAAAAATACGCTCTTCAACTAAAAAAATTCAAACTTTATAGAAACTTTCACCCTTTCCATAGCAATAATAAAATGATAAATTACAGACTTTTTGACGAAAAAAAAGTGCCAAAAAAATTTTGACTTTTATCGATCAACTTCCATGGAAAAAAATTTTATTTTGGAAAAAGCATATTTAATTTCCATTATTTTCCTAGTTCTAGTTTATTATACTATTTTTCAAAAAAATCAATATTAAATCATGAAACTTCTAGTGATGAAAAAAACAACAGTTAAAGTTCTAAATAACTTTATTTTAGCTCAAAAATGAGATCTTTTCTTGAAAGAAAACCTCAAAATGTTCCAAAAATAACGCAAACCTCAGGTGGCGGCGTCGCAGGCGGGGTAAAAATGGTTTGAAAATAGGAAACGATGAAGAGAATCAGAAATATGTGGAAAAACAACACGTAGAAGATCCTCTGCGGCCAGTTGTCCACAGAAACTGAAAAAAAAGATGGTTGAGAAAATTATTTTTCAGGTTGAAAAAAATAAAAATTGATAAAAGTCTAAAAAAAATGTTCATTTTATCTTTTAGCATTTAAAATCGAAGAAAACTGCCAAAATCATAGTTTCTCTTAAGAAAAAAGAAACAAACCAATGGAAAGCTGATAAACGTAGGCATAATATCCCCAGGAAACTGCCGCTACAACAACTAACACTGGAAACCATCGTAACGCCTGAAATGATAAAATAAGTTCAAAAAAGCCTCCAAATACATGAAATTTCTACAAAAATGACCGGAATTAAGAATAAAAACAAACTTCAAAACGCAAAATTTCATGATTATTGAAAAATCGCTAATGAAAAATCGAAAAACCTTCTCAATTTCTTCCAAAACTTGAGACATAAACGTTGAAAATGACAATTTCACGATAGAAAAGTCCACGCGAGATAATTTTGAAATGGAGCTTTTGAGAAGGTTTCGAAAATTTTTTTCCAGAATGATAAATGGGTGAAAATAGTTAAAAATTTCAGTGATGAATTTCAAAAAAAATTTATTTTCTATAAAGCTTAATAGATGAAAAAACAATACTCATTTTTTTCAAAAACATTTTTTTTTTATTGATAAAAGGGAAAAATTCAAGCCAACACGGTGAGGTTCGGAATATCGATTTGAAAAAGTTTTTTTGATATATTTTTTTCTTTTTTTGGAAAAAAATCTTATTATATACCTGAACGGATTTACTCAGGGAAAGGCTGATTTTTGGAGTTTTTCGGTTTTTCGCAAAAAAATTAATCATTTCGCTTCATTCTCCAGTTAAAAAAATCGATTTTTTTAAAAACTTTTCTAGTGGCTTTTTAACCTACTGAAAGTGCATCTATCCAAAAAATGAGACCATAATTTTCAATGTTCACCTTTTTTGATTGATTAAAAGCTTTTATTTTCTTAAAAAACCTTATTTTTGCTTGAAACGAATTGAGAAAAGAATTCGGAGACCTGAACAAAATTATAGATACATCCGCCCTTCTCGATGCACTGTTTCCAGGACATGGTGCTCGGCGCCGAGTCGTCGGCCCAATGGAAATCGCGCGTCGCGGCGGAAACCCGTCCGGATCGGTTGCAACGGCCGGCGGCAAAAAGGGTCGCCAAGTCGAGAAACGCTTCTTTTTTTCTTTTTTTGCTACCCGTTTGTCAATCGACGAATCTGGAAAGCTTATAGCATGAAAAAAAGGATGATTGAAAAATAATCCGGAAACGTTATATTTGATGCGATTGACCAGAAAAAGTAATATAATGAAAGGGAAGAAGACCTTCGTTTTGTGATTAGAATGTATATGAAAAAAGAAGAAAGCTAAAATGCAAAAAAGTGTTGATTTTTTTGAGAAGTAGCAAAATGATGGAAAAAAATCCAGAGAAACTGGTAAAATTGATAAAGAAAACTCTAATTTTGACTATACTTTTCTCCAAAATTTATAGAACTTGCTATCATAAAATCAAAAGAAAAACGCTTCTTACCAAAAAAAAAAAACGAATTTTCCCAAAAGTTTGTTTTTCCAGTGGAATTTTGACGATTCGATTTTCACACAATGACCTTCATTTTGAAGGATTCCAGCCTTTTTTTCGCGATTTTTTTCAAAGGAAATAAAAAGGTTTTGAAAGTCGAAAAGGGGCTAATTATGCCCTGAAAGGAGTGTTAAAGCAAGGAAAATGCGTCGCCTAGAAACCAGGCATTTTTTTGAAGAGTGGAAAAAAAAACAGGAAGTTGGGTTATAGATGATAATTTCATAAATATTTGGAACTTTGAAAATTCGCAAAAAAATGGCGAAAACTTTGAAAATTCACGAAAAAAACGAAAAAGTTTGAGAAAGCAATAAAGAATATGTTATAAAAAAATTTTTAAATTCCGAGAAAGATAAAAAGCGAAAAAAATGAAGGAAAGGAAACAACAGGGGACAACTACATTCGGCAGACCAAAAAAAGTCGTGTGAGGTCTGAAAACCACATTTTCTCACAAAAATATTGCAAAAATTGTATCGAAACATGGAAAATCAAAGACAAATACGTTTGAAAAAAATAGAATAAAAACATTCGGAAAAAAGCATTTGTAGAAAAAGTTATCGACTAAGAAATTTTAAAAAAATTTAAAAAAACTTCAAAAAAACCAAAGGAAAAAAAGGTTAGGGAAGAACGAGAATACTTTGAATATCTCATTAAAGCATGGAAAAAACTTCTAAAAAGGTCAAAACATTGAATTTAAATCCAACAAAAAAAGCAAAAAAAGTTTTATAAACATACAGAAAAAAATTTAATAACAAGTCCAAAAAAAGCTCCGGAAAAATCTAAAATGAATGAATTTTGACAAAAAAAGCATATATAATTGTTGAGGAAATGAATAAATTTGAAATACAGCTGCAACGAAAAATTCAACAAAAAAAGGTGAAAAAAATACAGCGAAAAAGCAGAAAAATTCATCTAAAAACCACAAAAGAATAATCGAAATTGGATAAAAGTCAGAAGTAAGCTGCAGAAAATCGAATAATCAATAAATTTGGTTCAAGAAATTCTAAGAATAAAATAAAAAGTCACGAAAAAACTTCCGAGAATCGAAAAAATAATAATTTCAGACGAAAAGCACACATAACCTTCGAGAAAATATAAAAATCTGAACGAACCCTACAAAAAAGAGAGAAAAAGAAGCAATTCCCCTCCAGACGATAATATCGAACGAAAGTTTTGCGTCAAAGTATCAGTGGCCAGCAATGCATGAAGTCGATATACATCACAAATGGGCCGTGAAATCAGGTTGTCAGATGGAAATATTGGTGGGCAGCAGACTTGTACACTTGAAGATTGGATATGGTTCGAAAAGTACCTTGCCAAAGAAATAATGAACAAAAAGCGCTGAAATATGCATATTTTCGAGGAGAAAGACAATGAGAAAGTAAACCAAAGATCATTTTGAATAACAGAGATCAAAACTTGAAAGATTCCTGCCCAAATTTCATTGAATATATTGATGATAAAAAAATAAATAAAAATGAATAAAAAAATATAAATTCAAGGAAGTTTTTTTGGCTAACAGGGTTGAAAATTCAAAAATTGAAAAATCTTCAAAAATGGACAAAAATTACAGAAAAAAGCCATAGCAATGATATGAATTAATATAATCCATCGAAAAACGCGGAAAATATCAAAACTAGACTACAAAACAAGTTTCACGACTTTTTTTATTCTTTGCTCTCTGTTTTTGCAAGGGTTTTTCTTCGATAAACTCATAAAAAATACAAGCTAGTTGTTCAAATACAACAGTAAATCATAAAATGACAAAAAACGACAAAAAAATCTTTAAAAAAATAAAGTTGATCAAAAAAATCAATACTCGTTCTACTTTTTATTTTGTTGCAAATTGACAAAAAATTTTGAAAATAAGATATTAGCTGCTTATTCATTATTCAACTACAACAGACAATAATCGTAACAATTGAAAAAATCCAAAAAAGCGAGAAAACGATTTTCAGAAGCTACATGCCAAATGCGAAGAGAACTCGCGAAATGGAGGAGAAACAAGGGAAGATTAACCACATTTCAACGCAATGAATCACGCGCTCGGCATGTCGAAAGTCGTAGTTGCGACTATCGGAACGGACGTAGGGGAAAAGCCGTCGAGAGAAAAAATTGGCGGCCGGCCGAACGGAAAGGGTGTGGCCGCCTGATGAGCAATGTGCAAGCTGTGCGCGATGATTCTGCAACTTGTGGGCGCAGCTTTCTATGAGAAAAATTTGGATTTTGAAATTGAAACTCATTAAATTTAATTAAACTTTATTATTACAGCATAAAGTTTTCAATGGAGATACAGAAAATGTGTTGAAATCAAGTGGTGATTTTCAACTCGAAGATATACTGCTAAAAAAGAGTTTCTCTTTCAAGGAAAGAGCTTATCGCGAATGACGTTTTCTCTACGTGTTCAAAGTAGTTTCGCGACTTATATCGAAATCTATTTTTTTTGAGATATGAAAGTTTTTCCTTTTTTTCAATGAAACATCATATATTTTTTTTTGAACTAATTCGAACTCGTTGATTTTGCAATAATATTTTTTTAAGTTCGACAAAGATTTTTTTTCAATAGAAAATTCATTGAACTTGACGGGATTTTAGATAAATGCATAGATCGATCAGAGACCTTTTTAAAAACGAATTTTTGATATTTTGAAAAGGCTTTTTGTATCTACCTTCCTCTACTTTCAGAAGAGCTTGTTCAAACTTGTTTGAGCGTTATTTGAGTCCTCAGTTCCCCAAAAGGTTCATCAATCAAACCTATCAGAAAACTCTTCTATTTTCTCTCCCAAAAATGATTCCGAGACCAATCCATCAGTGAGAAACGGCTGGAAAGCATGCCGAGAACAAAAAAGGAGAAGAAGAAGAAGAAACAACGAGAAAGCATTGCAACTCGTCCACAAATCAAGACGACGTCTCACTCACTACACACCAGGAAGCATGACCGCCGCAGTTTTCCTAAGAGAAATCCGTGAATAAAAAAAGGGAAGGAAAACCGCAGCAGCGGCGAACTGTTTTGCGGCCTCTTGTGTAACAGTTCTTCCAGAGTACTACTTAAGCACGTCGTTTTGTCGTTGATTCTGACACATTTCTCGTCGCCGTCGACTTACGCCAGCCGCTTGAGGTTTCCTTGGAATTTTTTCGATATTTTTTTCGAAAGTTTCTGGTTCCTTAATGTTTTTAGACAAAGTGTAACTCACTGACACTAGAAATAAGTTCCTCTTTTTCACTTCTGAAAGCTTCAAAAAGGTTCGAGCTGAATAAAAAGCTTTTCCAAGCCTTTTTATGGCGCTTCAAATGGCCTAGACGAAAAGGGTACTCAACTTTTGGCCTCTCAATGATCAAAATTTGAAAATTTGTGAATCAGTGAAGCCATAATTGCCGACAGAGTCGGGTTCGAACTTGAAAACAAAATTTAAATCCTACTTCTTCAAAAGTTCCTTTACAAAATTTAAGGTCTTCTAGGATACAATCACCCTCTTCTGAAACCCTATATCTGAAAAATATTTAAAATTTCCAATCTTCACTAGAACAGCTCTGATAATAGTTTCAAAAAGCGTGAACCCCCTCTAAAAAAACTAATACCAACCTTCCAAAAAAATCGAAATTTTCAATCGCTACTTGTCTGACTTCAAAGCAAATTAGGCTAATTTTTCTCTTGCTTTCCTAAAAATTATTAATTCAAATTCGGACACGGTGTGCACGCTAAGACATCATTTGTAGCTAGAAAAAATTCAGAATTTGAAAATTTTAGATTAAATTCTTAGACTGCCATCGGCACGTCTTCAAGAACTCTTCGTAGAAACTAGACTGTCTAGAATATTCCTGGAAAACTACTTTTCTTTCAAAAAACCAGAGGTCTCAAATTTTTTCCACAGCAACCCTGATAACAGCAAAGCCAATTAACAAAAACCCTTCCAAAAAACCATATATTTCAGAAATGTCGGACCAAAAGCTGGACACGGAACGCGCGAAGCGATTCGCCTTCGCTGGCATCGCCATCACGACGACCTCGACTCTGACGGCGATCATCGCCGTGCCGATGCTCTGCCTCTACCTGCAGTCGGTGCAGTCTTCCCTCCAAGACGAAGTCAACTTCTGCCGCGTCCGCGCCACCTCCCTCCAGGGAGAGCTCACCAAGATCGAGCTGGTCAGAGCCCCCAGGAAGGCTCGCGAGGCCGGCACCTGCTGCAGCTGCGGCGTCGGTGGTGGTGGACCTCCAGGAGCGCCCGGAAAGGACGGACACCCAGGAAAGGACGGCGAGAACGGCAACCCCGGAAACCCAGGAAGCGACGCCGATGATGAGAATCCACATGCGGATGCTGGCCAGTTCTGCTTCGACTGCCCGACGGCGCCGCAAGGACCTCCCGGAAACGCCGGACCGAAGGGACCTGACGGAAACCCGGGTCTCCCAGGACGTGATGGACAAGCCGGAAGACCAGGAGCTCATGGAAACCCAGGACCCAAGGGACCTGACGGAGAAGCCGGACCAGACGGACCCCCAGGACCTCCAGGACCAGCCGGAGCAGCTCGATCCCTGCCGTCTCCAGCCGGAGAACCAGGAACTCCAGGAGAGCCTGGACCACAGGGACCACCCGGCGCCGACGGTCATCCTGGCCGTGACGGACGTCCTGGCGACAACGGAGCTCCCGGAGAAGCTGGACGGGATGGAGCTCCCGGCAAGTCTGGAAACGACGGAGCTCCAGGCGCTCCAGGAAGCGACGGCGCCCACGGAGGCTGCGACCACTGCCCACCGCCACGTACCGCTCCTGGCTACTGAAAATCATGACTTATTTCCCAATTCTTTCCTTTTTACATCCATGTCAAGTTTGATAATCAATAAAGCGATTGATGTAGTTTGATTCGATGAGAGGTGACAAATAAGAGAAATCTTCAAACTCCAAAAAATAAACAATAGAACTTCTGAAAAATCTCATATAAAAAAAACTCTCGAAAATTATATCCAACAAACTTCGCCATGATTGGAAGGCTGTGGCCACACTGTGGCCGCACGTGGAATGGCTCAAAGCGTCGCGGTCGTGTTGCTTTTATAGGTCGGCTTTAATTTTGGTAGCTTTCCATGATAGTTTTGATGTCTGCGCTCGTGAACCGTTTTGGGTCGGTTTTATTTCGAAACGACCGCTCCGCAGCCGTTCCGCTTCGAGCCATTCCAAGTGCGTCCCCGGGACTTCATGAAATTTCAAAAGGAGTATGAAAAACTTTGAGAAGCTTCCAAAAGCTTCAAAGCAACGTTCTCATGTTCAAAAACTTTTTTTCCGTAATAAAAATGATGATATTTTTATTTTTACAGTACCAAGAGTTGTTGAAAATTAACATGTTTCAAATATATTTTTTTTCAAATTTTTTTTTTGGCTGTCGCTGATTTGGATTCGACAATGAAATACCAAGTTGAGTGAAATCAATTTTTATTTTTCTCGGATTATTTTGACCTAAACATTTTCAAATAGGCTTCGAAGGAGGTCATTTTACTTTACGGCTGGGAATTTTCTGAAAATAGACCAGACAAGTACCAGAAAAAGTTCCTGAACGTCTCAAAATATGTATACAACTTTTCATTTTATGAAAAAAAAAAAGACATTTGGAAGCAAAGAAAACCCTAAAAATCCGTTAAAATAGGGTATTTTTGAGCTTTGAGTCCTTATTTCTTGAAAACTAGGAAGTTATACAGGTAGAGATTTTCAGGGACTTCTTCTGGTATTATATCAAAGAATATTCTGGCCCATTTTCAAGACGTTTCCAGCCGCTAAGAATATTTATATTTGTGCTTTGACTCGAAAAATGAGAAGCTTCTCCCATAAAAAGCATCTGTCAACCTTCTTTTTGTTCCTCAAGAAAGACCCAGAAAAACGTGTCCGACACCGAGTGGAACCACCAGTTTTACACGAAAAACGTCTTTCGACGACAATCAAAAAACCGGTGGGCGGAGCTTAATCAGCCTCCTTTTCGACCCACATTTTCGTTGTAATTTTCTCGAGTTGAACCGCTTTCTTATCTGAATTAGGTTTTTTTGATAAGAAAAAAACAAAGTTTATGATAGAAAAAAACTCAAAAAAATTTGTCAAAATGTTAAAAAACTTATTTGACCTATGTTTTTTAGGGTGTCCTAAGCTTCAATTGGTATCTTTTTTTCTGAAAAATTGAAGTCTACACTTTATTGGTTTTTTTCTTTTGTTATTATACTTTGAAAATTCTTGAAGAACTTAGAAAAAAATAAGTTAAAATTGCTTTTTTTGGCCTCATTTTTTTGCGATAATCAAAGCTTTAAATTCAGTTCTTTTTTTCATGAAAATTCTTCAATTTTTCTATAAGTTTCCCTTTTTGGAAATTTTTTCTTAATATCCAATTTATCGAAATTTTGTTTATTTTTGAAATTTCCCTCACGAAATTTTTCTATGAAACTTAAATCCTGAACTACTACTCTCTTGAGAAAAAAATTATTATTTTTTTATTTTTTTAAAAAAATTCTGGTGCTTCTCCGGGGTTTTTGGAACATTAATTTGAAGCTGTATGAATCTTTTAAGCTTAAAAATTAATTTTTTTCCATTAAAAAAAGACACTACATACCCTCATTAGCTTACCACATAAAAAATCTTCGCCTTCTCTAATCCCTCCCATTTTTTTGCGCACTATCTCGCTTATCGTGACTTCTTCTCAAAATTCAATTAGATAGTTAAAAAATAAGAAACCTTCTCAAAAAATTTTTTAAAATTTTCTAACTATTTATTTTCCTTTGCCCATTCTCCTGCCCTTCAAAAGTATGTTTTGCTGCCAATTTTCAAGGTCGCCATTTTGCAAAACTTTCCAAAAGCGAAAAATTGAATCAGCCGGCATTCGATGATTCTTCATCAAAAACACAACTGTTGTCTTATTTGTCCAACCTTTTTTTCTTTCAAAATATAAACTTCGACCAACTTCCTCCTGGGGTAACTATAAAACTACGGACATTCTGCATTTTCAACGATTTTTATACCTTCTTTTAAAATGCACTAAATTTGTACCTTTTTCAATCTAATTTTTTTTAAAGTAGCTGTTTTTATATTATATACCATCTGGTTTCAAAAATTTTTGATCGCACTTGGAAAGGCTTAACGCTTTCTTTGGTGCTCCTCAGCGCAAGTCGCTTCAAGTCGGACGGGTTTTTCGAGCCTTTCCACGTGCTACCAAAAGCTTAAAAATGCAATAATACCAATAAAAATGTCCCAGAAGCCAGAAGAAGTTACATAAAAATCGTCATCAGTCTTTTCTTTTCCAATTTCTGAAAACGTCACCCGTTCGTCTAGTCGGCCAACTTCTCATTGGTTCAACTTTGGTCACAATTAATCTTTCGCCGACCTTCTGTTCCCCGAGAACAGTTATCATCATTACCGACTTACTAGGCCATTAAGATCTCGATTTTTTTTTCTTGAAAAAGTCACAAGACCCTCTAAAAGTTTCCCACATTATTTTCTAAATAACTCTCTTATTTTTGTACACTTTCGCGCGTCGTTCCAGGACCCTCTTAGAAAATTTACTGTTGATTTTCAAGACTTTTAAGGATCTTTTGAACTAATTTTCGAAAGAAACTTCTTTTAAATAACCGCACTTTACCGATTCGTCCACCCCTCTAAAGTCCCAACTTATATTTTTTGCAATCAAAAGAAACAACAGGACCATACTCATTTTATCTCTAGGTTCTTCTGAAAACTAATAGCTTACTGTAGAGTCCTTTTCACTCGTTTCAAGACCAATTTTCTCAGAAAATTCACCGATTTCAATATTCTTCCAAGAAGCATTGAAAGAAAAACTTATCTTTAATTTTTACCGTACTTCTTTCAAAATCGACCATTTTTTTTTCTAACCTGGTCTATCCTTTCAGCTTCACCCTAATCCGTGTTCCGGCCCAAAAAACTCAATCGAAAACAAGAAAAAGAGAAGAAAATGAACCCATCGATCAAAACGACGCTGATCGTGCTACTGATTCTCGTCCCGCAGACAAATGCCCTCGGCAACGCCAAAAGAATTCTGACGTCGTCGAATTGCCATGCAACCTGCAGTTCTCATGTCACGTTGCCTTGGTGGGTTTGAGAAAAGTTAATTTGTTTTCAAAATTTTACTGACAAAGAAGACGAGGAGCTTTTACTCAAAGCTAGGGAATTTTCTGGAACTTGGCCTATCAGATGAATATTCTGAAGATCTCAATCTGCATAAATTTTTGAGAATAAAGGGATGAAAAGTCTCGAAATCGCCTGTTTCAACCGTTTTTGATGTAATCTTCGGCTCATACAGTGGTAAACGTTTTCGATAGGCATTAAGGGATAACTCAAGTGGCCTCTTAAGAGTTCCCTTGAAGTGCCAGACTCTTTTGAAGGCGTCATCCGTTTATAATAACCCAAAGGAAAAGGGAAATGTTTATATTTTCTTCGTCCTAACTGCTTTCCTGGAGAAGGAGAATAAGGCAGATTGAAAACCATTACTTTTTTTTTGAGGAACTTGAAAATGACAAAAAAAAACGAGTTTGAAACAAGTTTGACAGATTGACGAAAAATGAATCTTTGAATAAAAAAAAAGGTTGAAAAAATGAAAACTGAACTTTGAGAAACAAGTTTTAGATTTTTTTGCTCAAAAAATTGGAATAAATAAGCTAAAAAATCATTTCAAAACTTCTGAAAATGTTTCTTTTCTTCTTTGGAAAATTGAAAATTAGGAGGAGCTCTTAAAAAATCAAAAAACGATTTCATTGAACTCAAGTTCGAAGATACGTACTCGGACCTCACTAACGCAAACCGGAGGACGTTTCGCGTTTCTAGTGATCCCTTGAGCAACTTCAGCACCCTTAAGTGACTACTAGAAATGCTCAGGAACGTCCGATTTGCTTTACCGAAGGCTCAGCAGCTAAATAGCTATTTAAAGGCAAAGGGGCAGTAAAAAATGACGTTTCAGGTGAAAGCATTATCTTTTACAGTTTTTCTTTGCGAATCGAACTGTGTACTTAAAAAAATTACAGATTTGACAACTTTAGAAGAAAAACGCGATTTTACTTTCCCGCCTTTAATTTTGAAAAAAGCTTTGGATCGGTATGCAGACAACTGTTTACAGTAGCCGTGCACGAGATGTTGCGGACGTCTCATTAGACTCGCATTTTGTGAGAAATAGCCGGCTATCTACTTTAACTCAAGAGTTTCTTCTCTGTAAAAATCGATTAAAAAAACAGAAAACACACATTGATAATAAAGAAAAACACAAATAATCGCTATCCCAATCGAAACCTGTGTAAAATCATCATTTTTTTCACCAAAAAAACGCTTTTTGCGGACAAAGTTTGCAAATTATACATGAATAGAAAGCTTTTGTGACGAAAAGAACTTTGGTGACAACAAAAAAAATTGAAAATTGAAAGAAACGAAGAAAAAAGCGAATATACGGAAGATGGCGAAGCCTGTTGTCCATAGAGCAACTTTACTGCAAAGCGCTCTTTTCGCGGGAGCTCAAACTTTTGTCTTTCCGTCTTTGAATTATTTTTTTCCAAAACTAGGAAGTTCGGTACGTATCCAAGTTCACCGTTCGATTCGCAATGAAAAGCTCTACAAAGTACTGATTTT